CCTCCTGTGCTTCTAGCTTCCTGGGGACACGGGCTCTGTGTTTTGTTCATCGTAGCAGCCCTTGCAAAACTGAGTTAGGCACATCGTATGCCCTTGTTAACAGAATAAATGGGTGGATGGATAGATAAATCAATGGGTGGGTGATAGACGGGATGGTGATGGATGGATAAATGGATGGGTGAGATGTATAGATGGGTGTATGCATACATAGATGCATGGATGGATGAACAGAAGTGTTAATGGATGGGTGGATGGATGGATGAATGGAGCAACTGCTCTCTAAAAGGACTCACAAAAGGCTATGTAATAGCAGGGGCTTCCGGGAAGAGAGCTGTCCCTCCCGCCTCCATGCCAGGACACGCAGGTCACAGTGTCCAGGTGGAGCCTTCCTTTGCTAATGTGTACATCCTCAGTCTCCCCAGGATCTTAGTATAGTCCCACTCCTTGGAGTCACAGTCTGGGAGTTGCTCCTTCCTTCTTGCTCCCCTGGACCTTCTGGAGTGACTGCTTTCATTCACGTGTCATTTTGCGCTGCCTGCACTATCATGCTTCTGCAGGTTTCCTCTTCTGCATCCCTTTCCCCATCTCACACACACCCTAGATTTTTGAGCTCCCTGAAGACAGGAACTGTGTCTGAATCTCTTGTATATCCCTAGGGCCTGGCATATGTGTTTATTGGGTAAGTGAACAAATGAATTACCAAGAGAATGCTGACTCTTTTCTCACAGACACGCTTTGCACACTTCCCATGTATACATATCCAGCCATCTCTCCTGGTCCTCCCCTCCTCACACACATACACACGCTCCCGACTCTGATTTCCTTCAAGTCCTAGAGTTACGGCCTGATTGTTTCCTTTACTAATTTGTGGCTGATTCTGGGACGTCCCAGGGCCCTCCTGAGAGCCTGAAAGGGGAGGAGGCTCCTCGCTCCTAGAAAGCCACATTAACTGGGCTCTATTTGGAACAGAAAAGGGTTCCCAGGGAAGAACCTGGCTGTGGGGAGGGCAGGAGGGTCCCGTGGTAACCTGAGGGCTGCTGCCCCAACCTGGCCACGCCCTCCTGCCTCTGCTGTCCCTACTCCTGACCTGTGACGCTGTCCCCACGGTAGGGGGTGGTTGCGGCAGAGACAGCCAGATTTAGAAGTAATTTTCGCAGCAGGGAGCCTCCAGCCTGCCACCCACAGGGCCCTTGGAGCCAGTCTGAGATATGGCTCACCAAGGGCTGCCCCCAGATCTGCAGTCGCTCCTCCCCTTCTCCCCAGATCCTTAGCAGCTGGTGCTGACTCCATTCTCAGGCAAAGATGGAGGAAGTCCTGGGGTGGGAGCATGTGACTTAGGCACCCTCACCACCCAGGTGCTCCCAGTGTACCATTCAGCCATTCAAGGAGTGTGTCTCCACCCCAGGGGTCCCCCCTCCTCTGGATCTGGCCTCTGCTGCCTCTTTCTCCCCTTCCCTATCCCCGTGTTCCCATACCCCCAACTAATGAAATAGCCCCAGAGAGAAATCATAATCAGAACTCGACCCTTACATATCACTTACGAAGTCCCAGGCATTGTTTTCAGTGTTTCACATATGGAATCATTTAATCCTCCCAACAAGACCATGAGAGGAACACCATGAATACCACAGCTTTATAACTGACACCAAGACACAGAAGGCTGAGTAACCTGCCAAGGTCACACAGCCTGTTTGAGACAGAGGCAAGATTCAAACCCAGCCACATCGTCCATATCCTAAATACAAGACTGCCCTATTTTCTGACGATGGTAGAGAGAAGTAAAGGCAGGGGAAGAGGAGGAAGAGGCGGCTGTGGCCAGGTCCAGGGTAGGCAAACTCTTAAAAGCCTGTCTCCTGGGTGTTCAGCCTCTAAGGGGCTCAGGCTGTGAGGGGAGCATCCTCCACAGTGCCAGCCCCTCCCGTGCAGCTCACCTCACCCTCAGAGCCCTGCCTCTCTGGGCCGCAGCACAGTCCAGGCAGATACTGTCACCAGTGCCCTGACCTTCCTCCATCTTCCTCCTGGCCTGGAACCCATCCTCTTCTCAAGCCCAGAGGCCAGAGGCACACACTCCTCAGCGAGACCATCCCATCCCACCCTGGCCTCAGCTTCTCTTCCTGCCTTTGTCATCCACAACTCCCCCGAACGTACCCTTGACGTCAGTCAAATCAGACCACTTCTCCCACACTTACGCCTCTTGTTTTTGCTGTTCTTTCTAGGTAAAACCCCTTCCCCCCAATTCAGTCTTTTTTTTTTTTTGTACTTAACACTCGCTGTTTAATTTTATCCTTATTTGTGTGTTTTCACCTTCACCCCGTGACAAACAGGCCTCACTCCTCTTTCCTGGAGTGCAGCCCAATTCCTGGTTCCTGTCAGGTGTTCGGTGAAAGCTCAGTGGTTAGAACCTGTAGTAGATAGCATTGTAGGTGTAAAGGAGACAGACCTCAGGAACCTTTGATCTCTGCTCCCAGTGACCCCCACTTCCTTTACTTCCTCTACCAGGAGCTAGCCGGAAGCCTGGCAGTGTGGGTTTCAGGCAGGTTCTGGGATAGACCTTCCCTGGGTGACTCTGACCAACGTTCTCCTCTCGGGTTCAGAAGCTCAGAGAGGACCCCCTCCCGGCTCCCACACACCAAGGACGGGCAGCCAGCTTAGGGCCCCAGCCCCGTGTCCTCATCCTGCAGCCTCTCCAGGTGCACGAGGGGAGAGATATGGAGATCATTGGAGACCAAAACCATACGTGGTTGGAGGGAGGCACTGCTGATCTGAAGGCTGAGCCAGAGTTGGAGGTGGCGGGACTGGGGTGGGGGTGGGGGGGTGGAGTGGAGGGCAGGGCCAGGCCGGACTCTGAGACTGAGTCTGGGCGAAGCCCCCGCGCCCCGGCGAGCCGGCGGCTAAATTTACCCAGGCTGACTCAGCCCCTGCCAGGAATGGGGGGCGGGGGAGGGGTGCGCGGGGCAGTGGGAAGAGCCAGCGGGGGTGGGGGGTAAGGAAGGGAGAGTCCGCACTGGGGGAGACAGGAGTGGGCCGGGAGTTTCCATCAAAGACAGGAGTCTCTCCACCCGGTCCCACCTCCACGCCCCCCCTCCGCCCACCGGGCGGGAGGGAGCGGAAGAGCCCTGTGGGAGGGACGCTGTGGGGACGGGGCAGGTGAGAGGAAGAAGAGGCCAAGGTTGGACAAAGGAAAGCTTAGATTTATTGAGCGCCTACTGTGTGCCAGGCACTGTGCACGGCGCTTTACATACATTACCGCATTCAGTCCTCACAACAACCCTGCGAGGTAGGTGTTTATATGCCCCCATTTGACAGAGGAGGAAAGTGAGGCTCAGGGAGGTGAAGTGATTTGGCCAAGTTCACATGGCTAGTAAATAGAGAGAGAGAGGGGAGGTGTCTGAGATAAGAGACAAAAAAAAAAAAAAAAAAAAAAAAAAAGACCCACAAAAACCTCAGAGTCTGGGTCCCAAGCCGCTTGGCGTGGAAAATTCAAAGAGGGCTGCTCCCGACCACGCACACCTGGAGGCGGCAAGGCCAGGGACCCGCGTTCACTAGGGATCCATCGATTAACGGGCCTGTGGGAGTAGGAGGGACTCGCGGACGAGCTACAGGGGAAATCCGCGACCTGCGCGCGCCCCATAGTGGCCACAGCGAGAATCACACCCTACACCTCCAGGCTTTTTCGGACAGCCTCCCTCTTCCTTCTGTAAGCAGTTTTTGGAAGAGGCAGAAATGCAAGAAATTCTCAGGATTCTTTCGGATGAATGATATCGCCTGGGTGGAAAATCGTGGCAATGATTCAGAGCATCACTAAGAAACCTTGGGGAGGAGGAAAGAGGAAGGTCTGAAGAGGTCTGCCTTCTCTCTCCTGGTTGGACCACCACAGGCCAGGGACAGTGACAAGGCCACCCTCCTGCCCTGTCTTGGGCGACCCTCATCTAAACCTGGAAGACTGGGTTAGGAGCCCTTGCCCATTTACTCAGCTCTTCTGTAAACCCTGGGCAGCCTCTAGAATTGAGAATGAGTGCAGGTGACAATGAAGCCACCCAGAAATCCTCAGACTCTATTCATCTCTTCCTAACTCTTTCTTGGCTTGTGAAGGGAAGGAGGAGATAAAAGCTTCCCCAAAGGCTCCAAAACGACATGGATGGACCTGAGAGCCCCTTCGTTTTACATATTAGGAGGCCTGGAGAAGGAAAGTGACTTGCCTAAGGTGCCCCAGCAAGTGAGTGCCAGGGTTAGGATTGCAACCCAGACTTGTAACATCCAAATGAGCCCTCTTCCTTTGCTGGTTGCTTCTGGACTCCTTCCTCTTCTGCCAAGGGCTTCTCTGTCACCTGTTCCCTTCAATCCAAAGCCTCTCCATCACTTCCTTCCTCCTGCTCGGAGGCCCTTCCCTGAAGTTGCCCTCCCATGACTATACCATTCCTACCCTCCTGCCTACTCTCTGCTCAACTCCACACATAGGGCAGCAGCTACCCCTGCTGAAGCCCTTACTCAGATCAGATCAGATCAGAGTGACCTGAAAGGAGCAGGCATTAAAGTCTACTGCTCACTTGACCTCTCCTGATCTAAAAAAATAAAAAATAAAAAAATAATAATTACAGCCCTAGCCGGGTTGGCTCAGTGGATAGAGTGTCAGCCTGAGGAAGGAAGGTCTGGTCAAGGGCACGTACCTCGGTTGCAGGATCCTCCCTGGCTCAGGCCCTGGTCCAGTCACGTGCAAGAGGCAGCCAATCAATGTGTTTCTCTCACTTAGCAATTTCTCTCTTGTCTTTCCCTCTCTCTTCCACTCTCTCTAAAAATCAATGGAAAAAAATATCCTCGGGTGAGGATTTAAAAACAATTACACATCAGCATATGTTCCCTTTCCTTTCGTTTGGGCGGCTTCTTTTTGGATTATGGGAACCGGTGCAGGTGAGGGGTACAAGGAAGTCTGTGAGGAAGTAAGGGGACCAGTGGGCCCAAGGATGGATGGGCTGGGAAACACAAACACAGCCAAGAGCCTCTTACTGCCGCTCCCTGTTTCTCTGCGGGGTCCCCTTCGTGTTCCTCTCTCCAAAAAGGGCCTCCTCGGTGTGGCTGATGACATCCAGAATCTTGCGGATACTGTGGTCGGGCTGCGTGGTCTTCCCCCCTTCGCGGCAGCCGGCCCGCTCCTCCCGCCAGGGGGCGCCGGCGGCCTCCGTGTCGCTCCCATCCGAAGAGCTGCTGTGCGCGCCGAGCTCCGCAGCTTCGTCCGAGTCCGAGTCCGGGGCGGTGTGGCGGCGGATGCGGGACACGGCTTCCCGCAGGGCCCCGGCGTAGGGCCCCGGGGTCCGCGCCCAGCCCCGCCCCGCGGGCCGCCGGAGCCCCGCCACGTCCCCTGAGCCCTCCTCGGCAGGATGCGCGCCTCCGGAGGTCGCCGGGCCCGCGGCGGAGCGCCCGAGGCTCCCCGGCTGCGCGGGGGCGCCCGGCAGGTGCACTTCGTCCGCCGGGAGCCCCAGGATGCGGGAGGCGCGCTCCTCCAAGGAGGACTCGGCGGGCTCCCCGCCCTCGTTGTCTTCGAACCCGCGCCCCGCAGATGGCTGTGGTGAAAGGCGGCTGCCGGACTGCAGCTTTCGGCGAGGGGAGGGAGAGGCCGCGGCCCCCGCGCCCTCCTCCTGGCCCGGCTGCGGGCGGCCGGGGGCGTCTCCCGCCGCGCGTGGCGGCCCCGCGGGCAGAAGCTGCACGCGCTGGGTTCGCGGAGTCGGGACGTACTGGGACTTGATCACCACGCACGTGGCGTCAATGACAAAAATGCCTTCTCCGCGGGCTGGGCCGCTGGCGCTGCGGGGCAGGGTGTGGGCGCGGCGGGGTGCCCTCCCGCCCCCCAGGGGCCCGGCCCTCCCTCTGGGACCCGGGGACTCTCTGGATCCGGTGCCCCCCGGAGCCCAGGGCCTGGGCAGGGTCTGGCTGTGTGGGGGCGGGTGCTTTCTAAGGGAGGGGTTCCAGGATCTGGGGAGCCAGCTCTGTGCTCTGCATGCTTTCCCTTCCCCGGGGCCCTGGAGACGGGGCCTGGACCTGGGGGCGGGACGCGGGGGGCTGCGAGTCTCCGTGGCCGACCCCCCGGAAGCTGGGTTCCCAGCGGGGTTGGCTTGGGGGTGGCGGTCGCTCCCACTGTTCCGGCCAGCAGCAGCCGGCCCCAGGCTTTTCTCTGCGGCCCCCTTGCGGGGCTCCAGCCGTGGCCTAGCCGGTCCACAGCCCGGAGACCCCCCCAAGAGACCCCGTTCCTGTCGAAGCCCCCAAGCCCCTAGGACGTCCCGGTAAATCCGAGGGTCCAGCCTTTTCTTTGTGTGCCCCCCCTCTGTCCTGGCCGGAGTCTGAGCAGGGGCTGAGGAGACGGGCGCCCGGGAGGGATCGGGGCCCCTTTTGGCCCCCAAAGTCCGGTGGGGGCCTTCATAGGAAGGTGGCGCCACATAGGGGGGCGGGCGGTCCCAGCGGCGGCGGGGGGCCGTGCCCGCGGCGGCTCTCAGCAGCAGGTGAGCCTCGTAGCTCGGGGGCCCCGGCCTCCGGCCGCCCCAGGGCCCCACCCACGCCGCCCTCGGGTCGCTCGGCGGCTGCACGGGTGGACGGGGCGGCAGCCCCAGCGGCCCCAGGCGCTCGGGCCGCGATGGAGCCGGGAGCCTTGCGGGCTGTGCCGCCCGAGGGGCGTTCCGAGGCTCCGGGCGCGGCCGGCCCGGGGGGCTCCTGCGGGCCCCGCCGGCCTTGCGCCTTTTCCGCTCGGTCTCCTTGGCCTCGCGCTCCTGCGACGCCGCTTTCCTTTTCTCTTGCTCCCGGGCCCGGGCCTCGGCTGCGGGCCCCGCCCGCCAGTTGGTCGCCTCCTGCAGCACCCTGGCGGCCCAGGGCCGGCGGGGAGGCGGCTCAGGGGACGCTGGGCGCGGCCCACACCTGGGACAAGGAGCAGGAGCCCAGGTGAGCAGTTTGTGGGGGAAGGGAGCGGAGGTCCGGGGATCTGGGAGCACTGCAGACCACTTTGGGCAGCCAGGTGGAAGGGTGAGAGTGTGGTGTGTGTGTGTGTGTGTGTGTGTGTGTGTGTGTGTGTGTGTGTGTGTACACGTGCATATATATGTTGGGGCTGAAGTCTAACCATCCCTCCATGCACAGTGTACTGGCGTCTGCCCCATCTCACCTCCTGCCCTTTTCACACCCAGGAGAGGTCAAACTCTAGCTCTCCGGATGGGTTGGGGGCGCAGCAGCGCTGGCTGTGCCTGGGGGAAGTCTAGACCCACCCCACCACTCTCCTCCCCTCACTTCTCCTTCACTCACGTGTGGCTCTGGGGCTCGCGGATCCAGTGGCCGGCCTGGAAGTCCATGGTCTGTCGAGGAGGGGCACGGGGACTATAACGACAGGAAATAGTCTTCACTTGGATCACCAGCAGCTTGGATTTCTGCACCCAGAGGCAGCTTGCAGACTCCTCATCCTGGCGCTCCCGGGGGCTGCCGGGCCCCTCGGAGAATAAATGACCATCCAGCATCCTGCCCCACCCCACCCTGGCCCCCCACCCTCCCACCCGCCCCCGACAGCCCCCTGCCAGCCCGGGAAGCCGGCGCCCACTGCAGAGCGGCAGGCCCAGCGACTGGGGACTATATATACCCGGGCACACGTGTGTGTGCCTGTCTGTGTGTGTGTGAGTGCATGTGACATGGCGGGGATGGCTCCGCGCTGCTGCCTCCCCCAAGTGCATGGCTGCCTCCTGTGGCCCGGATTTGGGATCCCCTTCCCACTTCTCATGTCCCCCAAGCCTGATAGAACCTGCAGGAGTGGGCAGGGGACTTCTTATTGCCAAGCTGACAGAGCCCCCTCCCCCATCCCCACTGCTTCCACCTTCCTGCTGTTTTAACCCTTCACTCCCCTCCTCCTCAAGGTGCTTGACCACCAGGGTTCTGCCCTTGACTTCCTGCCTCAGACTTCAGGGACTTCAGTTTCTCGACAGGGAGGTGATGGAAATGGAACTGAAGGTCTCTGCCTGCTACTCTCGCTGGTTTCCATGGGGTTGGGGTGCAGGAGGGGCTGGCCCAGGCTGGGGGGCTATTTTTAGCAGCAGTCAGTGGCATTCGGGTGCAGAAAGGAGATGAGTAACCAGCTTCCATGTGGTAGGAGGAGGCAGTAGCTTTCATGCAGCTTTTGTGTGGCTGGGGGGAGCTATCCTCTCTCCGCTTAAAAGGGTGACCCCCCACCCCCTTAACTGTAGCCCAGGGCTGCCGGTACAGCAGGAGAAAGGAATCTTAGCCACGGAAACTGCCCCACACTCCTGTTCTAGATGTTTGTCCTTGGCACCCATGGAGTCAGCTCCCTGCAGCGTGCTCTCTCACAACCCAGAAGCCAGAATTTTAGGGTCATACTGTTCTGTGCCCACACAGCTCTGCTTCGCCTTATGGAGGATAGACTAGGGTGCTTATGCATTTATTCGCACCCTTTCGGAGGAATGGTGTGCTCCCTTGGCAAAACTAATCCCCTGGCAACTGAGGTGCTAAAAGTGGCCCGTTTTCCAGCTTAGAGCCCCCCATCACCACTACCACAATGCCCAGTTCACCCGGCCCCCACCTGGAGTGGTGCTCAAGATGCTCACATTTTAGGCTCATTCTGGGGAGTTACATCCACGTCTCTCCCCACCCCCAAGCCTGTACCAGGTGTCCCCCGATTCACCATGGTAATGTTAGTGGCAGCACAGCCCACGCCAACTCTTCCATGCAGAGACTTAGCAACCATGCCTGGCAACCATGGCAGCAGCTCCAGTGGAGGGGAGGGGCGTGGGGTGAGGGAAAGAAAGTGTATATAGCAACGGTTCCTGAGAAAGAAGGGATTATTTGCCTCTCCTGAGAAGAATAGGTGAAAATAGGTTATAAGGCTCCAAATTTTGTTCCTTGTCTTTCCTTCTGCTCACCCTCAGACTCTTGAGACTGGTTGGGTTTTATGAGGGAATGGGAGCAGCAAGAGATCCTATTTTGTTTCCCACTAACATACCTGCAGCCCTCAGGGTAGACTTGCCCAGAAGGGTTGTTTCGGGGCAGACCACCTTAATGAGAGAATCAGAGCAACAAAAAACAGGCCTCCTGCTCTCTAACACGGACTTTTTAAAGAACCCATATTTTCCTTATCCCATCCATCGACAACCCGTCTCCCCTTACCCCCCCCCCCCCCCACACACACACACAGCCTTACACCTACCAGTTGCTCTGATGGCTCTTTGCTTGAAGGTGCTTCCCACCAGTCCTAAGGCTTTTTAAAGTCCTTGCCTCCTCCCTAGACAAGTCCTACTTCATGATGGAATGTGACACAGAGACATCTGTCCTTTTCTCCATGCACTCACCCCACACATACTCTAATTATAACAGCTTGGGATGTCTCCCTCCCTGAAGTCTCGGAATGTGCTGAGAGCTGTGAAGAGGTGAATGCAGCAGGGGCTTCTTCAAAGCCAGGATGTAGCACTGAAAGCTGCCTTGTTGCTTTTCCCATGTCCCATCGGGAAGCCTGGTTTGGAGGGACCGATATGGCACGGTAGGGTTCTTGGGCAAGTGGGGGTAGGAAAAGGTGTTACTCTGAGATCTCTTTTGATCTTGGTATCCAAGATGAAGATGATATACCTGCAAAGCAGTGGTGGGATGGTATCCAGAATTTGGAGCATACCCCACAGTCTAGGTGTCCTTATACTGTTGTTTTTAAAAAACATTTTATTGATTTCAGAGAGGAAGAGAATCATTGATGGGCTGCCTCCTGCAGGCCCCACACTGAGGATTACACCTGTAACACAGGCATATGCCCCAACTGGGAATCAAATTGTGCCTCCTGGTCAATGCTCAATCACTGAGCCACGCCAGCTGGACTTGACTACTGTTTTGGCGCATATGGTTTCAGCACAGGGAAACAGTCAGCTGGGGTGACCATGGCTCTGCTGCTCCCCCAGCGCATACCCTACAGCTCCTTCTCACGTTGGAAGACTCATAAGGAATTTCAGTTCAAAGACAGAGCCAGTTCAGTAAAATCCAAATAGAGTCCAACCTTTTGATGGTGGCATGTCTCTGTCTACTCTCAGGAGACGTAACTCCATTATGTGATTTTCCTGGGACATCAGCTCTGGTCCGGGCAGAAGGGAGTGGGGGTGATAAGGATTGTAGGGAATAGGGTGAGGACAGTTTTAATAGAGATTTAGAAAGGTAGTATGTCTAATATAGTGATAAAGAAGCATGGGTTCTGGTGCCAGACTGGGTTTACATGCTAGCTCTAACCTTTTTATTAGTTGTGTTGCCTTGCGCTAGTTTGCCTCTCTGTGTCTTTGTTTCTTTTAAAACTATAAAACTGGTGTAATAGCTACTATTGTTCTGAGGAGTAAATGAATTAGTGTATGTAAAGCACTGCGACTGATGGACAGCTTTCTATAAAGTGTGTTGTTGTCACTAATGAGTTGAAGGAGCCATATGAAGTAGAAAGGATGGAGCAGTAGTGACTGTCAACTACAAAAAGCAAACACTGCAATATCACGAAGAGGTTCCTGTCATTTTAATTAGGTTTGCCACAAAAAGCAATAACCTGAGCTAACCACTTTGCAGTCCTCCTCCACCCGACCCACTTCTCTTCATATGAATATAGCGCAGGAACCCAAAGGCTTTCCTCCCCATGACCCCCCCCCCCACTCCCATTATGGGAAGAAATGCTATTAAGTGGACTCAGCCTCCTCCATACAGCATGAAACAGGATGAATAAAAATATTTTTATGAAGAGCTGTGCTATGACAGAGGGAGTCAGGGGCAGAGATAGAGGCAAAGCCGGATCTCTTAGAGACCAGAATTTGTCCAAGCGGCACAGAGCCCACAGTTCACCCAGAATGGGGGCGTGTCTAAGAGGACAGGGGCTGGGATGGGCTAGGCTCAAAGTTTTCCTCACGGGTGAGGACAGGACAGCTACAAATCCATTCCCCATCTCTTCCCTGGCTCTCAGGTAGAAGGGGAGAGGTCTCCTGGGCAGGGAACAGAATCCCAGTTCTCTCAAGGTTTCATCTGTGGTTCCAAGCTTTGCGCAGGCAGTGAGTGGGCATGCCACCTGACGCCTTCCCCAAGCTCAAGGCTTTTCTCCGCCTGTGAGCACCAGGGCCTGCAGGATGTCTGACAGGGAGACAATTCCCTTGACCACATCATTCTCATCCACCACTACCAGTCGGTGAACCTGCAGAGAGCAACAAGGGAAAAAGGGAGATTCAGTGCCAGATTCAGGAGAGCCCTTAGCTCTATCCTCTCCAAACCCCAGCTCCTTCAGGGTCCCTGGTCCCCCTACCTCTGCTTCTACCAGCCTGTTGATGATGGTCTCCAGAGTTTCATGCAGGTAGCACTTAAGGACACCCTCAAAGTAATGTGACCGATGTTGGAGGGCTTTGGTCACAGACACATCTAGGTTGTTGTAGGTCTTTTCTGCTGCAAGATTCTGGGGAGAGAGGAGAAGGTGCTTGCAGAGAAGCAAGGGAGCCAACCCCCAAACCCTGAGTCCACCCGACCCCAAAGGGATAGGGCAGTTGTCAGCCATGCCCACAAGCCACACCCAGCTCATTCAATTATTTTTCAAATAAAATTTGAAAGCTTGGAAGCTTCTTAAAACCCTTAGATTCCAGAAGAGACTCTTCTGTTCCCTCTCCACATTCAACATACCACCCCTTTCCCTACCTCCCAGCCCCTCCACAATCACTCACGATAACATCAAACTTGGAGTAGATGTCCACCACACGCCCTAGAGGGACAGAGGCAGCTCAGCAAGGAGGATCTGACATCCAAGACTCCCCCTGGCCGTAGGTAGAATCACGGTCCTGGCTGAGCTAAGGGGGAAGCAGATTTTCCCCGAGCCACCCTGACTTCCCGGGAGCCCTCCCTCCCCGTCCACTCTCTCACCTTTTTCATCCACCACAGGCAGGGCGGAGACCCGGTGCTGGACGAAAATGCCCAGAGCCACGTAGACGGGGGTGGTGGTGCGGACCATAGCAATGTTGGCATAGGTTCCAATCTGTAGCTCTTCCAGAGACTTAGACATGAACTCTGGCTTGGGGAACTCGGTGATCTGAGAAAGGAACCATCACCTTGATTTTCAAGGCTCCCCATAGCACCCTTGGATACCTTCCCCACCGAGTATATAAGAAGTAAAAACGGCTGAGGAACACTTACAAATAATTTGAGGAACTTGAGGATGCGTTTATGGGTGAGGATGTACAATGTGTTGCCTGATTCTGGGTCAATAACTGGCAGCCTATGAATCTTGTTCCGGATTAGTGAAGACACAGCATCAAACAAGCTGTGGGAAGGTGGGGGACAAGGATAAGTTCCACAGGCTGGGCCTGAGGCTGGGCCTCTCTCTGCCCCTGACTCCCTCCACCACAGCTCAGCTCCTTAAGAGTGTTTATAGCCGAAACGGTTTGGCTCAGTGGCTAGAGCGTCGGCCTGCAGAGGTCCCAGGTTCGATTCCGGTCAAGGGCATGTACATTGGTTGCAGGCACATCCCCAGTAGGGGGTGTGCAAGAAGCAGCTGATCGATGTTCCTCTCTCATCGATGTTTCTAGCTCTCTATCCCTCTCCCTTCCTCTCTGTAAAAAATCAATTTAAAAAAAAAAAAAAATATATATATATATATATATATATATTTTTTTTTTAAAGAGTGTTTATAAATGCAAAACTGATGGTTGGTAGAAAGAAGGGGAGCAGTGTGCGCATGCACATGTTTGGGAGAAGTGTCTTTTCTCTCTTCTGCCCCGGAATCTAGGGCTTTAGCTATGCTGATGGCACAGCTCTTCCTCTTCTGTACAAATGGGTGGCTGGTACTCACCTGGCATTAGGAGAAATGCAGACAAGTGGCTTAAAGGAGTCCTGTAGGTATACCTCTGAAAGGAAAAAAGGGTTCACAAAATACCACCATGGAAAACCATTTCCCAGGAAAAGGTCCACCTCTTTATCCTCCCACCCCGCCCCCTTGCCAATTCTCTGCATACCTCTCCAAGTTTCTATCTTGTGTTCTTCCAGCTCATAGATTTGCACCTGGAAGCAAAAGCAACAGAACTTGAGACTTGACCTCCCTGCTCCATAAACCCCTTGGGGTTTGCTTGGAAGGAAATGAGAATGAGGGGCTGAGGCTGGGAACGTGGTTTTGGTCATTAGGCGATGGTCCTTACCAAGGCGGATTTGTAGTAGCGGTGCAGGATATTGATGAAATCAGTGATGGTCAGCATGCCTAGAGGCCAAGACAAGAGCTCTCAGCATTGCTCAAAGCTTTTTTCCGTGTCCAGCATAAGATGCTAATAATACTGTGTTCCAGAAACATTGCTTACCCACAAAACTTTGCTTCTTACTATCCCACAAAGGGGCAGCTCGTACACCATTAGTCACCAAAGCAAAAAAAGCTTTTTTCACCTATAGCCAAAAGAGTTATATTCACAAAGGGAAATTCACGGGTGGACTTTAAAGGAACAGGGGTTGGGTATATTGGGGAAAACATGAGACTAACCCCATAGAAGGACAAAGATATTATCCTTGGGATGAGATAGGATGAAGGATATTGAACCAGAGGTTCCAAAGAGGAGAAGGAAAAAGTGTTTCACCCACCTGCAGGGAAGTGTCAAACACAACCAATTTGGAGCTTGTGGGAATCAGGTCATAGCAGCGATGAGACTTCATGAAGGAAGTATACACACTATTGTTGGATTCTGGGGTCTCTGCAAAGGATGGGATAGTTAATAGCTTCCTTCCAAGTAAAACACATAATCAAAAAGGCAGAAAATGCTAAAACCGGTTTGGCTCAGTGGATAGAGCGTCGGCCTGCAGACTGAAAGGTCCCAGGTTCGATTCCGGTCAAGGGCGTGTGCCTTGGCTGCGGGCAAATCCCCAGTAGGGGGTGTGCAAGAGGCAGCTGATCGATGATTCCCTCTCATCGATGTTTCTAGCTCTCTATCCCTCTCTCTTCCTCTCTGTAAAAAATCAATAAGATATATTTTTTTAAAAAAGGCAGAAAATACAACAGTGTTGTTGTTGCTCAAATATTTAGAGTAGATTTTTTAAAAATATATATATGTTATTGATTTCTTACTGAGAGGAATGGAGAGAGATAGAGAGTTAGAAACATTGATGAGAGAAAAACATCTATCAGCTGCCTCCTGCACACCCCCTACTGGGAACGTGCCCGCAACCAAGGTACATGCCCTTGACCGGAATCGAACCAGGGACCTTTCAGTCCTCAGGCTGACGCTTTATCCACTGAGTCAAACCAGTTTTGGCTAGAGCAGATTTTTTTTTTTTTTTTTTTTTTAAATATATTTTATTGATTTTATACAGAGAGAAAGGGAGAGAGAGAGTTAGAAACATCGATGAGAGAGTCATCGATCAGCTGCCTCTTGCACACCCCCCACTGGGGATGTGCCCGCAACCAAGGTACATGCCCTTGACCGGAATCGAACCCGGGACCTTTCAGTCTCCAAGCCGACGCTCTATCCACTGAGCCAAACCGATCTCAGCTAGAGCAGATTTTTTATAAGGCACTCTATTTTAATCTGATTTGTTCCTACTATTCCATTAGGAGTAAAGCCTCTTAGAAACCATTTCATCCAAACTCCATTTCCAGGTAAGACTGCATCTGTTGGTTCCTTGGCTGACTAAAACAGAAAGTCTATATTTTTCATTAAACTGTTCTAGTCTATCTGAAACCGGTTTGGCTCAGTGGCAGAGCGTCGGTCTGCGGACTGAAAGGTCCCAGGTTCGATTCCGGTCCAGGGCATGTACATTGGTTGCGGGCACATTCCCAGTAGGGGGTGTGCAAGAGGCAGCTGGTCGATGTCTCTCTCTCATCGACATTTCTAGCTCTCTCTCTCCCTTCCTCTCTGTAAAAAATTAATAAAAAAATAAAAAATATAAAAAATAAAAAAAAATAAACTGTTCTAGTCTAAAAGTTTTTTTTCCTTATCTTTAACTCAAGTTTTCCCTTTCATATATTTAGCACATTTAAATTATCTTTTCTCAATTAAGATGTAAGTAAGCTTCTTAAAATTCAAGTAAGCATCTTCCTTTTGAAAATTTTTTTTAAGTAAGCTTCAGATGAGAACATCATGGTCCAAGTTGGGCCATTTCAGGTTAACATGAAGTTGGATCTCAGTGTTCAACCTGGACTAAAACACCCTGAGAGTCCATCCTGGGATAACCCTGTGAATGAGAAATCATCCCATCTATTCCGGTCAAATGAAAGACCCTGGCTGTGTATACCTTTCCAATCTTTTGATTTTAATTGCTTGGTCTAACTAGAGAAGCCCCAAAATAACAGCCCAAATATGCTCCCCACTATACTATGTATACTTAAAAATAGTGCATTATTTATTTAATCCTTTCAATAAACCTATAAGGCAAATATTGTCCTCATTTTTCAGGTGAGAAAGGTGGAAACAGTTCACACTATCAGTAAGTGAAGTGACAAGACTCAAACACAGATTTACCTGATTCCAAAGTTCATGTACTTAATCCTATGCCAGTTGTTTGTCTTTAACTTCTATTTTTTTTTTTTTTTTTTTTTACCAAACTTATTCAGGTTCTCAGTTTAAAGTGTCAAATTGTTCTACAAATTTTGTCAAGAAAAACTGCCATCCCTGGCACCCACTCCCTATAATAACCCTTACCCAGAGATGAAATCTCTTTTAGCTGATTATTTTGGTACTTAAAAAAGATATATTTCTTATTGATTTGAGAGAGGAGGGGGGGGGGAGAGAGAGAGAGAAAGAGAGAGAGAGAGAGAGAGAGAGAGAGAGAGGGAGAGAGAGAGAGAGAGAAAGAAAGAGAGAGAGACATCAATGATGAGAATCACTTCAAGCACGTCCCCTACCTGGGAATCAAGCCTCCACTGGGACCCGAAGTCACACAGGCCAATGCTCTATCCACTGACCCAAACCAGCTAGGACATTTTTGGTACTTTTTTGCTCCTTTTTTATTTTTTTCACTTTTGGGAATTATCCATTATTATCCAAGAAATATGAAAGTTTTTTGTTCTATTTTCTAACAGGACCCTATTACAAACATGCGCCATCCATTCCCACCATTCTTCCAAAAATTAAAATATAATGTTGGCTACCTCAATATTTAAATAATTTTGACTAAATATTCATTATTCAGAGCTAAGGGAAATAGTAAACTCTTTCACAACTTTATTTTCCCTGGAGTTAACAATTGTCTCTTTATTTGCTTAATTTTCTATGTATAGTATTTATAACTAATTCAATCCCCAAACATCACAAGTTCTTTAAATCTCCTTGTAAGAAATTCAGAAGCACAGCCTATCAATTTAAACTACACAAAGACGTCTCTCTGGAGCTTTGTGACTGGCTCAAATCTGGGCTGGTTTGCCTCACATGCACTGCTGTCACCTTGAAATCTTCCCTCATTACCATCAAGAGGACCCCTTTCACGACTCTGGCATTCCTTGTGTCCTGTACCCATGTTTTCATCTTTTTGACTACCCCCTTGTTTCGGTGGAGCACATCTTTCAATAGCTTCTTGAGAAAGGGTGCACGAGAGGTAAATTTTTTGAGACCTTGCAGCCTGCAGATATCTTTTACACTCTCTTTGATTTAGAATTTGGATGGATACAGAATTCAAGGTTAGAATTTATTTTCCTGCAGGATGTTGAAGACATTGCTCCATTGCCTTGTAGCTTCTGGTATGTTCAGAGTCTGAAGCAATTCTGATTCTTTGTATGCGATTTGTTTTTACCGCTCTGGAAACTCAGGGTCTTCTCTTTGTTTCCAGCATTTTGAAATCTAATGACAATTGTGCTTTGGATGGGTGAATTTCATCCACTGTGCTGAATATTTAACGAGTCCTACCAGTGCTTTGTGTTGTCATTTTTCTCTTTCTGTAACTGCCGATTATTTAGATATTAGAATTCCTAGACTGACCCTTGAAGGTTTTATTTCTTTGGGGGTGAGTTTTTATTGTTGTTTTTAAAATATCGTATTTTTTTCCTCCTGTTTTCTACTGAGCTTTTTAAAAATGTTTTGTTTTTATTTTTTAAAGAGAAAATAAGGGAGAGAGAGAGAAACATCAATGAGAAAGAAACAGCATTGATTGGTTGCCTCCTGCATGCCCCATACTGGGGGTCTAGCCCAGGCACATGCCCTGAACAAGAATCGAACTGTGACCTCCTGGTTCATAAGTTGAAGCTCAACCACTGAGCCATGCCAGCCAGGTTTTACTTCTTTGATTTTTAAAAAAATATATATTTTATTGATTTTTCAGAGAGGCAGGGAGAGGGTTAGAGAGCTAGAAACATCGATGAGAGAGATATATTGACCAGCTGCCTCCTGCACACCCCCTACCGGGGATGTGCCCGCAACCAATGTACATGCCCTTGCCAGAATCGAACCTGGGACCTTCCAGTCTGCAGGCCGACGCTCTATCCATTGAGCCAAACCAGTTTTGGCTACTTCTTTCATTTTTAATTCTACTTCTGGTAGATTTTCTCAGCTTGATTTTGAAACCTCATGTTTATTTAAAAAATTTTGCTATCCTATATATTTTTTCCTTCTTTTTTAAAAATGTATTTTTATTGATTTCAGAGATGGAGAGGGAGAGAGATAGAAACATCAATGATGAGCCTAACCGGTTTGGCTCAGTGGACAGAGCATCAGTCTGCAAACTGAAGGGTCCTGGGTTTGATGCCGGTCAAGGGCATGTACCTTGGTTGTGGCACATCCCCAATAAGGGGTGTGCAGGAGGCACCTGATCGATGTATCTCTTCCATTGATGTTTCTAATTTTCTATCCCTCTCCCTTCCTCTCTGTTAAAAAAAAAGAAAAAAGAAAAAGAAACATCAATGATGAGAATCATTGATTGGCTGTCTCCTGCACGCCCCACAATGAGGATTAAGCCCACAACCTAGACATGTGCCCTGACCTAGAATCAAACCCTGGCCTTCTATAGGTCAACGCTCAACCACTGAGCCACGCCCACTGGGCTGCTACTATATTTTTAATGCCCAAGAGGTCCTTTTTGTTTTCTAAAAGTTTTAGAAAAGGAGTGTATCCTGGTACTTGTTTCATGGTGCTAATATATTCTTCCTCTGAGTATGTATTGTTAATTTGAAGTTTTCTTCTTTATGCATTTACTTTTCCACTCCATTGCTTTTTCTTTGTTCCTTTTCATGGATCATCTTTTTTTTTTTTATAAACATTGGAGGATTTCTTTAGATCTCTGGTTATCTTTGATTTAAAGGAGAATTCAAACCATATTTTAAGAGTGGAGTTTTTAAAGCTGATTGGAAGCCCTAAGTGTGTAAATGAGCCATTTAGATAGGGAACACTCAACATTTATATTTGTAGTGGCCCGATGCACGAATGAAGATTCCTGCAAGAATGGGCCTTCGTTCCCCTGGTTGCCTGCATGGCCTCCATTCTAGCTGGAGATGCTTCTGCCTTCCCACACTGCCCAGAGGCCCAGAGCGGCTGGGGTGGTGCTGACTGCCTGCACTGTCGCCATGGCAAGTATCCTGCCTCATTCCCAGCAGCTCAGTGCCTGCGCATGCAAATTAATCCATCTTTATTAATTTGCATACTCACTCCTGATTGGCTGGTGGGTGTCACAAAGGTAAGGTCAATTTACATCTTTTTTTCTATTAGTGTAGATGCTGTGCTTGGAAGGTAAAGTCTTTCCTGTCAACATTCTGGAAACTGGAAGGGGGAAAAGGCCTTGGATTTTGGCATTTAGTATAGTTCACTTTTCCTGTTAGTGAAGTACCTCAGTCCTCAGCTGGACCCATACCTCTCTCCAGACCTCCAGTCTTTGCCAAAGTTGGAAAGGGGAGTTGTCCAACTGCACTCAATGAAGGAGGGAGTCTTGGGATCTGACTGCTTCTCAGACCTTCAGGGCTTCTTGGCTTTCCCCACTGCTAGTTTACACTGAGTGGCCAGATTATGATAATCTCTGAATGCACAATAACCTGGCCACTCAATATATATATTTTAGAGTCCCAGTGCATGAATTCATGTGGGTGGAGTCTGGCCAGCCTGGCCAGGGGAAGGGGACATTGGAAGTTGGCTGGCTTGCATGCTGGTTGAACTCCTGCTCGAGGGAACAATTTGCATATTAACCTTTTATTATATAGAATATACATTGAGCCTAAACCGGTTTGGCTCAGTGGATAGAGCGTTGGTCTGAGGACTGAAAGGTCCCAGGTTCGATTCCGGTCAAGGGCATGTACATTGGTTGCGGGCACATTCCCAGTAGGGGGTGTGCAAGAGGCAGCTGGTCAATGTTTCTCTCTCATCGATGTTTCTAGCTCTCTATCCCTCTCCCTTCCTCTCTGTAAAAAATTAATAAAATATATTAAAAAAAAAAAAATACATTGAGTGGCCAGATTAATATCCATTCAGAGATCATAATAATCTGGCCATTTAGTGTATAATTCAGCTTTCTCAGGTCTGCTAAGTCATTTGCCACTCATCTGTCTGCTTTCCCGCTTTCAAAATTCATTGCTATGGCCTCCTCTCTTATTCTTCCTATTTTAGTGTATTTGTACCTTAAAAAGTCTTTATGTTTATTTTAGCAGCTTTTTGTGAAGGAATGAAAGTAGATGTATACATTCAATCCACCATTTTTAACTAGAAGCTCACTATTAGTTTTCAAATTTGAAAACTCACAGACTCCCAAAAAAACATGTCTTTTGGCATCAGTTTAAGACACATTATGCTGAGAGTTAAATACTATCATTTTCAATCCACAGTAGAGGCAGCCAGCACTGTTTCTTTCTCTATTCTCTCTCTAAAATAATTTTAAAAATCTGGAGATTTATATACAAACCCAGATTCTTAGTTTCTTTTCAAAATTCTTAGTTTCTGACAAAAGTAGGTCTTGAATTCTGAATAGTAACAATTGATCAGACCTGGATAGTTACTGCCTCCTTTTAGATGTGGCAAGATCTACAGGTTGTTGTAGTCATATGCACCCATCACTGCTTGTAGGCAATTTTTGACCCCCGACTTGATGTTGATGTAAATGTACTCAGAAACATAAAATAACACTTGATACCATGTGGCAGTACTCAATTATCAAGAGCCATTCAGATAATTAAAAATATCACTATATGATTATCCTTTTGGGGTTACCAACAAAATGAAAATGGAATATTAAAAAAATTCTTGTAGCCAAAACCGGTGTGGCTCAGTGGTAGAGCGTCAGCCTGTGGACTGAAGGGTCCCGGGTTTGATTCCAGTCAAGGGCATGTACATTGGTTGCGGGCACATCCCCGGTAGGGGGTGTGCAAGAGGCAGCTGGTCGATGTTTCTCTCTCATCGACGTTTCTAGCTCTCTATCTCTCTCCCTTCCTCTCTGTAAAAAATCAATTAAAAAAATATATATATATAAAAATTCTTGTAAAGAACTCATAAAACTTTAATATGTCCTAGAATCTTAGCCCCTATTTCAATCCTCTGAGAAAGTGTGTACTGTTAATGCCCTAAATGTGTCCTTAGACTTAAGAGTATTCCTGGCCAAAATCCTTTACCAGAGGTGCCTGTGAGTTCTGCCTATTTCTAGATGACCTAGAATTGGGCCATTCCATTCTAAACAGGTACAATATTGGAATCGCCTGGACTTTAGGGTTTAGTACCTCTATTCTAGATTAGTTCTAAGGACTTTCAAGCCTTTCTGTAATTCCTGTGTACATTCAGTGACTTTACTGAGCTTGCTGGATGATAAAAACTTCTAGTGGCATTACTTCTGTGCTACTCAGAAAATACCAGAAACTGCCGAAACCGGTTTGGCTAAGTGGATAGAGCGTCGGCCTGCAGGCTGAAAGGTCCCGGGTTCGATTCCGGTCAGGGGCATGTACCTTGGTTGTGGGCACGTCCCCCAATGGGGGGCGTGCAGGAGGCAGCTGATTGATGACTCTCTCTCATCGACATTTCTAACTTTCTATCCCTCTCCCTTCTTGTCTGTAAAAAATCAATAAAATATATATTTTAAAAAAAAGAAAAAGAAAATACCATAAACTTCTAAAACCTCATTAGCCAGCCTATTATTGCCTGTGGAAGTTTCCCTGTATCTCAAAAGTTTCTCTCGGGCCGGGACCGGTTTGGCTCAGCGGATAGAGCGTCGGCCTGCGGACTGAAAGGTCCCAGGTTCGATTCCGGGCAAGGGCATATACCTTGGTTGCGGGCACATCCCCAGTAGGGGGTGTGCAAGAGGCAGCTGATCGATGATTCTCTCTCATCGATGTTTCTAACTCTCTCTCTCCTCCTCTCTGTGAAAAATCAATAAAATATATTTAAAAAAAAAAAAAAAAAAAAAGTTTCTCTCGGGTGGTTTGATATTAATCATCCCTACTCTACCCAAGATTTTTCCTTGGTGATCTTGCCAAATTACTGTTCCTGGTTTATATGGTTTGGTACATTATCTGGTCAGCTTTCATTTCCCAAGGGGGACCTTGGGAGAGGTTCAAAAGCATTGCAGAAGTTGACGTTGGGCTACTGCTTTCATACCCAGTTTCCTTTCTTTAGGGCACTTACCTTGAGGATACTCATTTTCCAGAGCTGAGGAGTTATCTGAGGAAATGACCTGGAGACAAGAGAAACAAAGATTCAGGCTATCCTGGGCTCCATCATTTTAGCTTAGCATTAGAAGGGCTGGCAACTGCCTTTAAAGTGCTGTATTATCTCATTTAATCTTCATAACCCTGAGGTAAATACTATTGTTAGTCTTATATTCACATATTAGGAAACTGAGGTTTAAGCAACTTGCCCAAGGTCATATGGCTGATAAGGGTGGAATAGCGATTTGAACACAGATCTGTGCATTTCCTAAGCTCATGTCCTTATATCTATACTACCCAGTGAAACAGTAGGTCTTAAAGCTGAGACTAAAAAAATCTGAGCTTAGAGCTGGTGCCACAAGATTCTCACAGGTCTACTCTATAAAAACACAGAAGCCAGAGAAAACACTGCTTTCCCAAACACTCACTAAGCATAACTGTAGGCACAGGGATCAGGCATACACTTTACCATTGAGAGGGCCAATCTAGGGAGTATCCCAGCAGCTGACTGTCAAAGTTAGAATGACTGAGGGGTGGATGAAGAGCATAAATGTTCTGAATGAGGAACCTCAGTTCTCTCAGCACCCTTAAGAAACCCAGAGGATGCTGGTTTTCCAAGTCTCTTTGCCCATGACAGTCTATTAAGAGAGTGCTTTGAATACAGAGAAACCTTTAGAATCATCTCTATGCTCCCTCAAGTGGAAACATTTGGAAATTTCATTGTTATCTAGGAACCCAGGAGGGATCATAATTTTCATCAACTGGAATCAACAGTTTGGCTCTATTTGCTGTGGGTAATATCCCCAAACTAACTTCAAGTCTTATTTCACCTACATAGATGCCATAGTAATATGAAGTTAAAGGCCTTGGATTGAACATGGGAAACTGGTAAGCAGGGTCAAGTTGGCAGGATAGCCTTAAACTTCCTGCCCCAATGGGCCAGGGTGAGGGGATAATCTTCTTCTCTGGGCTGCATAGGATCATCAACTTGGCTTGGTATTTTGGCAAGGCTATCAGAATAGCAGCCTCATCTCTTTTAAGTGGGAGAAAGGGCTGGCTATTTAGTGCTAAAGATACACACATGGGCTCTGGCGGGGTAGCTCAGTTGGTTAGAGTCTAACTGTTAAAGCATCATTCCGATACACCAAGATGGTAGGTTCACTCCCCAGTCAGGGCATATGTAAGAATTAACCAATGGCCCTACCTAACTGGTTTGTTTCAGTGGATAGACCACTGGCCTGCGGAACCTTAAAGGTCCCAGGTTCAATTCTGGTCAAGGGCATGCACCTTGGTTGCAGGCACATCACCAGTGGGAAGTATGCAGGAGGCAGCTGATCGATGTTTCTCTTCCATTGATGTTTCTAACTCTCTATCCCTCTCCCTTCCTCTCTGTAAAAAATCAATTTAAAAAAATTAACCAATGAATGCATAAGGGGAACAAATCGATGTTTCTCTTTCCCTCACTCCCTTCCTCTCTCTAAAATCAATTTAAGAAAAAGATACACAAGTTATATAATAGTCTCACTAAAATCTATCAATATATAGAAAGACACAGAAACAGCTACTTGTAGAAATTATTATAGCCACCATATAATATTTACATACCAAAATGTGTTAGTTATTTTGCTCATTATCTATCCAAACAAATTATAAATTCCTGGAATCCTGGAACTATTTTATACTTATTTATATCCCCCATACCATATAGCATGGGATTCTGCATATTGTTTTTATTTTTTTTTTTAAATATATTTTATTGGCCTGTGGACTCAAGGGTCCCGGGTTCGATTCCGATCAAGGGCATGTACCATGATTGTGGGCACATCCCCAGTAGGGTTTGTGCAGGAGGCAGCTGATCGATGTTTCTCTTTCATCGATGTTTCTGACTCTCTGTTCCTCTCCCTTCCTCTCTGTAGAAAATCAATAAAATATATTTTAAAAAGAAAGAAAGAAAGAAAGAAAGAAAGAAAGAAAGAAAGAAAGAAAGAAAGAAAGAAAGAAAGTTAGACACATTGATGAGAGAGAAACATCGATCAGCTGCCTCCTGCACCCCTCACTAGGGATGTGTCTGCAATTAAGGTAGGTACCCTTGACCGGGACCTTTCAGTCTACAGGCGGACGCTCTATCCACCGAGCCAAACTGGTTTCGGCTGTTTTTATTTCTTAACTTTCAAACTGATGATAATGATGCATGCTAATATGAACAAAGACTAAGACTAAGTTAGAGAGAAAAAAGAGACATCCAGCAAAATAGAAACACAGATAACTACAGAAGAGAGTTAGACACCACAATTGAATATGACTTTATCTTCCTCTCTCTCCACACAGGAGTGGGGTAATAATGTCCATTCCTCTCAACTTTTTTAAAAATATATTTTTGTTGATTTCAAAGAGGAAGGAAGGAGAGGTAGAAATATCAATGATGAGAGAATCATTGATTGGCTACCTTCTACAGGACCCATACTGGGGATCCAGCCCTAAACCCAGGAACGTGCCCTTGACCAAAATCGAACCCGGGACCCTTTAGTTTCCAGGCTGATGCTCTACCCACTGAGCCAAAACAGCTAGGGCTCCCCTCAACTTTTATTTTTTTTTTTAAATATATTTTATCGATTTTTTTTTACAGAGAGGAAGGGAGAGAGATAAAGAGCTAGAAACATCAATGAGAGAGAAACATCGACCAGCTGCCTCTTGCACACCCCCTACAGGGGATGTGCCCGCAACCAATGTACATGCCCTTGACCGGAATCGAACCCGGGACCTTTCAGTCCGCAGACCGACGCTCTACCACTGAGCCAAACCGGCTTTGGCTCCCCTCAACTTTTAATAACATGGGGAGCTTGACCATTGTGGCTCAGTACTTGAATGTTGACCTATAAACCAGGAGATCATGGTTCGATTCTGGGTTAGGGCATGTATATGTGCCTGGATTGTGGGCTCGATCCTCAGTGTGGGGTGTGCAGGATGCAGCTGATTAATGATTCTCTCTCACCATTGTTTCTATTTCTCTCTCCCTCTCCCTTCCTCTCTGAAATCCATAGAAATATATTTTTAAAAATAATATAAGGGACCTGAGAAAGTACCACTGTACTACATAAGTACAAAATACTAGTAGAAAGGCACATAGATTCACAATTTCAGACTCCTAATCCACATTTTCAATTGTTTGCTAGACAACCACAGATGTCAGACTCTTCAAATGTTTCAATGCAAAGCAGAACAGCATCTGTCCCTCCAATCCTATTATCTTTACTGTGATCCCCATATTTGTTTTTGGCACTGCTCTCCTCCTAGGTGCTTAAAAACTGAATCTTGATTCCTCTAAGAATGAGCTAAGCCAACATGTCTGCTTAGAATCACAGGAGCAGAGCATGACTAAACCTGTGGTCAGCAAACTGCGGCTCGCGAGCCACATGCGACTCTTTGGCTCCTTGAGTGTGGCTCTTCCACAAAATACCACAGCCTGCGCAAGTCTATTTTGAAGAAGTGGCGTTAGAATAAGTTTAAGTTTAAAAAATTTGGCTCTCAAAAGAAATTGCAATCGTTGTACTGTTGATATTTGGCTCTGTTGACTAATGAGTTTGCCGACCACTGACCTAAACCTATCCTTAACATCTATCAGCTAAACTGATGTTTCTATCTCTCTCCCTCTCCATTCCTCTCTTAAATCAATAAAAACGTATTTTAAGAAATTAGTTGCCTCTTGCAAGCCTCACAATGGGGATTTAACCCATATTCCAGCCGTGTGCCCTGACTGGGAATTGAATAGTAACCTCCTGGTTCACAGGTCAATGTTCAACCAGAGCCACACAGGTCAGGCTATCTCTTCTTTAATTCTTTCATGCCGTCACCACGTTCTTTTGCCAGCTAAGCATCTCAGTTTAGGGGATGGGACTTTCATCTCTAGCAACTAGGAACTCACTACTTTCTGAAGATCCATCCATTTACAGAACACTGTTAAGAACATTCTTGCCCTAGCCGGTTTGGCTCAGTGGATAGAGCACTGGCCTGTGAACTGAAGGGTGCTGGGTTCAATTCCGATCAAGGGCATATGCCCTGGTTACAGGCTCAATCTGGGGACATGCAGGAGGCAGCCAATCAATGATTCTCTCTCATCATTGGTGTTTCTCTGTCCCCCCCCCCCTCCCCTCCTCTCTGAAATTAATTTTATATATATATATATATATATATATATATATATATATATATATATATATAAAAGAACATTCTTTAATCACACTCACTGCCTTGCTCATAAATCTTCATGGGTTCCCTTATTACAAAGACTAAATTTAGCAAGGTATTCAATACCTTCAACCCGACCTCAGCCTATTTCCGCCTCACTGTGACCCAAATCCCAAACTCCAGCAACATTAAGCCACTGGCTCTTCCTCAATTAATCTCTACATACCTGGATTTCTATGCCCTTGCTCACAGTCCTTTGTTTGCCTCCTGAAAACAGCATTTATTATAGTCTACTTTATTTTTTAAAAAAATATATTTTATTGATTTTACACAGAGAGGAATTGAGAGGGACAGAGAGTTAGAAACATCGATGAGAGTCATCAATCAGCTGCCTCTTGCGCACCCCCCACCAGGGATATGCCCGCAACCAAGGTACATGCCCTTGACCGGAATCGAACCTGGGGCCCTTCAGTCCCCAAGCCGACGCTCTATCCATTGAGCCAAACCGGTCTCGGCTATTATAGTCTACTTTAAATAACAGCTGTCACTGGCTTGCCCTCAGCCCCACTTCAGTTAGGCTGAGCATCTTCAAAAACAGGGGTTTTCTTTTTAAAATAATTTCTATCCCAAGAACCTAATCCAGTACAAAAAGTGCAAGGGTTAAATTATAAAATCTATATAAAAATACTTTGTGCCCTGCCACGGTTGCTCAGTGGTTGAGCACTGACCTATGAAGTAGATCACGGTTTGATTCTCCATCAGAGCATATGCCGACTTGAGGGCTTGATCCCGTGCGGGGCATGTAGGAGGCAGCTGATCAATGATTCTCATCATTGATGTTTCTCTCTCTCTCTCCCTTCCTCTCTGAAATTATATATATATATATATATATATATATATATATATATATATATATATATATATATATATGACCCTCTTGCCTAGGGGAGCAATTGCAAATCACTTTACTACTTTGGTTTGTTTTCTTCTTTATAACCTGAGGGACATGACCCCTATGCAGGTAGAGAAAGTATACGGTAAAATAATTACTCTGGGCAGATAACTGACCCAAAGAACAGTGAACCTGCAGCCTATACACAACTACAGTAGCAGATGATAAAAACCAAGATAGGAAGAATCATTCTGCCTGACAGATGACATGATTAAAAACTCCGAAGAGGGAATTAATGGGAAGGGTTCCAGAGTGCTAGAAAAGGCTCCTGATAGTGAGGTGGGTCCCTGTAGCAGGCAGCCTGCGGCATCCCGGGAAGGGTGACGGACCTGCCACACTTGGTCAATGCCTGCTCGCCAAGAATGAAATGCCAACATGCCTGCTTGGAATCGCAGAGCTGGGCATGACCTAAAACTTGTCCAGGGACACAGCGGCCTCTACCACTGAACAATCCCTCCTTTAGAAACACTCCACTTTTCAGTCTTATTAGGAGAATGGGAGCTCGGTGGACACCTTGCGGCAATATAAGTCTTTCAGATGTCCCTCCTGCCAGGCATTGCAGGGATCACACTTAGACAACCCGGGCCAGGTGATGCCTGCAAGCGGGGGGACCTCCCCCTCCCGCCTCTCACAGGAAAGCCGAATCACCGCCGCTGAGGGGCCTGAGGCGCTAAGACGAAAGGAGCCCTGAAATCGCCAGGGTGCGCGCGGCATTTGAGGGAGCTCGGTGTCACTGCCCACTCGGGCTGAGTACGGCGAGCGGAAGGCAGGCCCAGTCCGCGGAGATGCGCCCGGGAAGGAGCGGGGGGCAGGAGCACGGACAGGACAGACCCCCGGCTTCCCGACTACTGGGCACCAGCGCCCGCCCCTGCCCAGGCCTCCCAGCCCCCTTTCCGCGCTCCTCACCGTCTCCATTGCAAAAGGCGCCGCTGGCTGCGTTCTTTAGAGGCTCGCCGGGGAAGGGGTGGCTCCGCCCCACGTCCGGTACCGCGACGCCACTTCCGCTTGCGTCAGAACCAACGCCAGCAAGGGCGGAAGGCGCGGAGCTCGCTTTCCGGCGCGGCTGGGCCTGGTAGGCGCCCTCCCCTGGGTCCTGTCGGACCTCACGGATCGGGCTGACGGCGAGGGTGACAGGACGGAGCCACTTGTATTTAAAATGTTCTCTTTTTATTTGTCGTTTAAAAACAAACTTGGAAGAAGCAAAATCCAAAACTTGCCCTTTGCCTCTTGCAACATAAATTATGTACAGTTCAGAATGATCGCTGATACAAAACATGCCAAGGACAGGGGCGCTGGGGGTGGAGGGAGGGCACTTTAAAAGGGAATCATTTCATCCGCTGTTACGAAAGACCAACCTTGCTGTACAGGATACACACAACACAAAATAAAGTCTTCACGGGATTCACACTTGTCAGCGATTTATTTTTTTTTTTAAAGGGGGAGGGTCCTGGAGGTGAGGGGAGAAGACTGTAAAGGGGAAAAACTGAAAATTGAATATGTGCAAGTGTAAACCAACCCAAAATACAAACACGGGGGAGGGAGGAGGAGGGAATTCTGATGCAATTATACAGGCGGGGTACTTTAAAAAAAAAAAAAAAAAAAAAAACGAAAAAGAAAAAAAAAAAAAAAAACACCAACAACCAAAATTCCAACCTTGTAACTTGGGTCTGAGTTAGTTTATATAAAAATTAAAAACTGTATAAGGTTTCTTTACTAAATTCTACAGGACTATCGGATACCTAGCATATGCTTACAAAGTCTGCCCCATCCCCTTTTCCCAATCCCAGGGCCCAGGCCCCAACCAGAGCCTGACTCACAAGAGCCAATCTCCCCATCCCTGTAGCCTAGACCTTTTGCTCTTGGAAAAGGGACATCCAATGGCTTTGGGAGCAGCAGCCCAGTCTCCCCACTGTCTGATTTAATTACAGTGGTTTCTGTGAGGGTGGAGGGATGTTATTCTCTTAAACATTTGCAGCTTGAAACAGTTGAGGAAGCAGCTTAAAAAAAAAAAATCTCCCTACCCCCATCAATCCACAATCCCCCAATTCAAAAACAAACAAAAACAAACCTAAAATCACAACAGCGACTGTGCTCCCCTTCCAGCAGGCCCACCCATCCACCACCAACCACCAAGCCCATCCCTACACTCCATACATTTGATTCTTGAAAATATTAATTACAAAATGCCCTTTGCCCACAGCCCCTAGGAGAGAACTGCATATAAGCTTCATCTTCATCCCCATGGCTCCCTACCACACAGGGGTGTGGGGCTTCACCCACCCCCTGATCTACCCCTGCCCCAGGAAGAGGTTCAACTGCAGCACAAGCTTGGGCAGAAAGGGGAAGGAAAGGGAGGCAGGGAACCCATCACCCTCTGGCTCCCCCTGGGGCCAGCTCACTTTTGTGCGTTATAATAGTCCAACTATACAATAGGGGGTGGGAATTGCCCAGCCTCTATACCCCCATCTTACAGCAGTCACAGCCAGGGGGTGGGGAGGAGGGGGTGAGGAAAAGGGCGGTAGGTTGGGTAATGGAGGGGGCCCCCCCACAAGGGGAGCTCCATGTATCCGCCCCACACCCCCCTACCATTTATAAACTGGTTTTGTAAAAAGAAAATAGATATATTTATATAGAATATATAAAGCACAAAAATTAGTAGTTTTACATTTGCTCTCCCCGAGGGTGGGGGGAGAGGGGAGGGTTCTCACCTCCAGCCGGCTCCCCCATGCCCCACAAGACTATGTACAATCCCATGTATAAATAGATAAATACCCCCCACCCTCCCCGCGCTGACACTAAGCTCCCCACCCCCACATCACCACCTCTTCCCACCAGACCAGCAGCAGTTTGGTGACTGAGGGAAAGTGGGAGCTCTGGGCCACACCCCGCCTCACTGGGTATGGGCATGCCACTCAGGGATAGCCCTCACCTCTATCACCCACCCACCCCATCCAGGGGCTGGAGGGCAAATGGGCTCATGATGGGGTTGGGAAAACAGGAGGGGAATATCCTGGACCTAGGTTTAGCACATCCCTCCTACCCCCATGTCCAGATGGAGAAGGAAGTCCTAGAGCAACTAGGGGCCAGTCATCCCCAATCTTCATCATCATTAGCCTCAGCCGCCATCCCATGCCCAGAATTAAAAACAAAGATGGATTTTTTGTTGTTGTTGTTTTCTTCCTCCTCCTACCCCCCTTCCACCCACTCAGAAGAGGGCAGTGAGGTGGGGGAGAGAGTTGGGGCAGTAGGGGGCTTGGAGAGGGTCTCACATTTCAAAACAGCAAAAAATCCAACACTTAAATGAGGTAGGTGTGGGTGTGGGGTCTCCTTGCCCGGCTTGCCTGGCTTGCCCTTCTGGGCAGCTGGGCGCCTCTTTCCCATTCATGTTGCATTTGTCAGAGTGGAAAACAAGGAAACAAAACCCATAGAGAGAAACACAGAGGATACGAGGGAGACAGAGACAGATTGAGAGGGAAAGGGATGGGGGTGAGGGGGGGGCAGGACCCGGCAGGCAGGGCCAGGTGTGAGACCCGGCCTTTGGGATTGTCAAGCTTAGTCAAGTCTCTTTGCAGCCTTGAGTTGGGCCGGAGAGGTCAGTGGGAGCAGCAGGGCTGTGAGGCCCGGCCACACGTCCTCCTCCCCGCTCCCTGCTGCCTCCCAGATGCTTCTGGGTAGTTCCCGGCCCATATCCCCCTCAAACCTGAGATACCCAATGGCTGCTTCTGTCTGGCTCCTCCTGGAGCTGGGGCAGAGATGCAAGCCTGGGGGCCGATGGCCGGGAAGAGGGTTATCCCTGGTGCCCAGGGTGGGCTTGGCCTAGGGCCCTCTGCCCCAGCCTCCTGCTCCAGGGGCTCCGGTCAGCCGGCAGCCCCAGCCCTGGGTCCTGGCTCTGGCCGCTACCTCTCTTCCCTCTCATCCCTTTCAGGGAAGAGGTTGGGGGTGGAGGGATTCCCCTGCCTGGTAGCCTCAAAGCTTTTTAATTCATCCATTTCCGACAATTCCAGGCTCCACAGTGGCAGGGGATCTTGTGCTGATCGTCCTCAAAGTCAAACTGATAGTCATAGGTCAGCTGTTAAGAAAAGAGGGCACAATCAGTACCAGCCCCTCAGAGGAACTGGGGAGGGCAGAGATGATCTGCTCTGAGGGCAGTGGCCTTGGAACTTGGCTCTGGGGAATAACAGAGAAGAGAGAGCTGCTTTGTCACTCACTCATGATGCTTCCTCTTACCTCCTCTCCTTTGGGGATTCGCCGGCTGGAGATGATGATGATTTTATCCTCTTTGTCAAATGTCACAACTTCCGCCACACAGTTAGGGGCACAGGAATGGTTAATGTACCTAGGCAGTGGGACAGAGTCAGGGATGCCACATGATTAACTTGGGATGGTTTTGGTGCCTTATTGGCCCACTCCCAGTGTATCACTGTCAGAGACCCCTAAATCCCTCCTTCCTAATTCCTCTCACCTGGCAGGGCCTCCAGTCAACGTAGCATCAATTACATGTTCATTGTTTATCCGGAACATGTAGATGCCTCGATTCTAGAAAGGAAAAAGTTGCAGAAGGGTCAAGAGTATCAGAGAATGGCCATGGTGTGATAGTGGGATCGGGTAGCAAGCTCAGGCAGTGAGCTTCATTTCTTCTTTTTCCTTTCTCCCACCTCTCACCTCCTCCTCCCACAGCTTTCCACCTGCCCCCCATACTGCTCCTTGTTCCTTGGCTGAGTGTGGACCATGCACCACAATGGCCCCTCCATCAGCCCATACCTGCTCCTCATAGATTTTTTCCCGCCGGTTGGCCACCTCGTTGCGAATGATGGTGCCAATGTACTCAATGACCATTGTGTGTTTTTCTAGGTCCTTGGCTGCGTAAAGCCCCAGGCCCTGGATGCGGGAGCGAGCCAGATACACATTGTTCTTCCACTCAGTGCGCAGCCGCCGATATTGAGATGACTTGGAGTGCACAAACTGCTTGCTGTACGGGGTGTTAGTCTCGCCTGTGAAGGTGCTCTGATATGCCTTGGACATGCTGGTGCTGTTCAGGGTGTGGGGCCTGGGAGGTAATACAGTGCATAACAAGACAGCTCTCCCTCACACCAAGCACACACCACCTGCCTCCTCCCTGGGATGTGCAACATGCCAGTGAGGGGCATGTGCTGCCTTGGGAACAGAGTGGAGGCATATGGGTCTTGGTTTTGATGTAATTAACTAGCTATGGGGACCCTTCCAACACCCTGGGTGACACAGAGATGGGGGTGGGGAGTGGAGTGAAGGGAGGCACCAATTCCCCTACACTGAGCCCACTCTCCCATCTCCTTGCCTTCTACCACCCTCCTGCCAAACTGTGCTTAAGGCCGTGCTCTTCTGGAGGAATTCCCCAAGCAGCCCAGGCCTGTAATTTAAATTCATGGTTTGCTCAAACATCTGAGTCCTACTGCCTGCTCATACTGGAAGCCCTGGAAATGGGGCCACATTGGACTGGGTTTGAATTAAAAATGGCTCTGAATTCATAGCCAAAAGGGGCATCCTTTCCTTTCTTCGGACTGTCCCCTTTTCTAATGTAACATTGGGCTCTGTGCAGACGGCTCAGTGCAGGGGAATGACGGCTGCCTGAAGGATACCTTCTCACCACCCTAGGCACCAGCCAAATTCTTCCCCATCCCAGAGCAGTGGTTTTCAAACATTTTTTATCTTCTTTCTTTAGTAGGAATCTTTTTTTTCTTTCTTCTTAATGAAATGTTATTGGAACTCCAATACATAAACTAGATAAAATGAAATTCTTCTGGTTGAATTTGAAGGGGGAGTTATACATGGGGAGGGCCAAGTTCTACCGGCTTAGTTTGTGTGTTCCAAGACTTTCTGGAACACACACAGTTTGAAAACCACTGTTATAGGGCATCAAGGATGAGGGCTGACTGGGGTAGAGTCAGACACTCTACGACAGCCTGAGGAGTAACCGAAGGCCTTCACAAAAGCCCTGCTACTGTGAGTTCTGCCTCCCTCTACCCAGTGACCAAGGTCAGGCTACTGAGGAACACAGAAGGAACAGGAAAGCACAAGTCAACATGTAATGTTCTGGTCCCAGCTGTGACCTTTGTCTAGTCACTTAACTTTTCTGGGTCTCAGTTTCCTCAGCTGTGAAATGGGGGTCATACCACCTGCCCTACCTACCTCATAAGGTTGTTGTGAGGATCAAATGAGATAATGGATGTGAAAACGCTTTGAAAAAAAAAGTATAAAGTGCTATACAAATTTAAGGTTTGATTATTTTTCTATTATATTTCTAATTATTTACTTTTGAAACCAACTCAGCCTAGGGAAGGGAAGGTGACCCTTGCGCTCATGGGACACCTGAAGTTTGGGAGGATCACAGGTCCCCTGGGAGCAAAACAGGAGGAAGGAGATGACTGGACCCCTGTCTTCTCAGTACCTCCCCAACAGCCATTCATTCCCAGGATGCCCAAGATAAGTCTGCCCTAGACCCCAGGTTAACCCAGGACACCTGAACAGGTTGGGGGGAGGTAGGAAGGGATACTGTATTGATAACTACATAACCTCTAACCAGGAGGCCTAGAGTGAACCCCCATTCTCTCCAAGGGGAACTGTAACCTGTAACCCCAAACCCTCAATTGGCCAGAGGGTCCCTACCAACTCCCACACTCATATCCTTTGGCCCCAGGCCCACAAGCTCACCGTTTGTAGTGTGTGAGGATTTTAGGCTCTGATCGGGCACAACCAGTGGGGTTGATCATGAGTGGTAGCTCCATTAGGGGGTGGCGTCCATAGCGGAATAAATAGTTTTGACAGCTCTCCACTCCAGGCAGCTGTGGGCACAGGTCATGCTCACCTTAGCCTGAGCACTTTTGGGGCAGGACCAAAGTTCTCAGTGCCCTCCTCTCCCCCAGCTCCCGGCCCCTTCTTACTGATTCAGCTATGCGCAACACGGCATGCACCGTCAGCCCAAAGAGTTCCTCGCCTTTCAGGTACTCAGGGAAGAGCCTCAGCATGTCGGCCTCTTTTCTCATGGCAGCCACAGGCTCAATGATGCGATTCCACACAGCTAAGAGGCAAGGAAAGAGAGCAACCCTCACCATCTGGTGAAGTTCTTCAGAAGGAACTTCTGCTCAGTGAACCTGACCCTAAACTTGATCTGGAGCTACTTCCCTGTCACAGGGCTGTGTGGTTCTTCAGGACCCCACTCATGGCCTCCCAGTCCCACTCTCCTTCAATAAGCCACACTTCCCACTCGGAGGGGCATTAGAGTGCCTTGTGACACAGAAACATGAATCCAAGGTCCAGGAGACCCAGCACAGGTCACAGGACTTGCCGAGAGTCAGAGCCACAGGCATGCTTTGGCACTGGGAAGATGAGTTCAGGTTCTAGTACTAGCCATTGGACCTTAATCCAAATACTTAAGTCTAAGATTGTTTCTTGGAAACCTGGGCATAATAACAGTCCTTACCTCAGAAGGTTGTGTGAACAAAATAACCTGTGTAAATCACTTAGCTTAGTTTGTGGCACATAGTACATGTTCATTAAAAGGTAACTGCTCTTATTGTTATTTTTATCATCAACACTAAAACTAAAATCAAAAGAATTTTGTCCAGAGAAAAGCAACCAAAGGGAACTCCTGGTTGGGATCAGGTTGGGTAAGCCAGATGGTAAGGTCTCAGAACTGTATTCTTTTGTTCCACTGAGGATAGGAAAAGAAGCCAGAATGAAGTTAGACAAGCAAAACATCTTCAATTACAAAGGAATTTAAAGTGAGTAAGAGAGGCTAAAACACTTTCTCTGGGGATTTTCGAGAGACTCCACCTATGCACAATAGAGGGTGTAGAGTGCGGAAGATCACTCACAAGGACCCTGCAGATCCCTTTTCCACATTGTAAAGATGATTCCAGGAGAAACTTGCCCAACTCCACATTACCATTTCCAGAGCCCACTGCTCACCCTGGGGAGAGGCGTCAGCGAAGACCAGGTCCTCCAGGCCCTGCTCCATGACTTTGATTATGAACTCCGGCCGACCGTTGTTCTCACCAATAGAGCAGCGGTAGCAGCAGCGGCGGTTATTGGTGCGAAGGCTCCAGTAGATGCGTGTGGCTTCGTAGCCAACGGGATAAAGGGCAGTGGCACTGTGGAAGTCGGCCATCTGATGAGGGAGCAGCTGTCCAATGGCATGGAACACAAGGCCCCCTACCCGGAACATGTGCAGCCGCTCTCCCCGCTGGATGATGCTAGCGATTTGCTTCACCTCATCCCGCTCAATGTAGACCCGCCGGAAGACAGCAAAAGAGCTCAGCTCTTGCTCACAGGGCCCTTTGATCTTATGCATTGGACACAGCATGGTCTTGTCCTTGAAGAACATGCACTTGGCGCGGATGGCGCAGGCAAAATGGTAGACGTTGGGACAACGCATGCGATTGCAGCTGCTGGTGGCACCGGTGCGCTGGCACAAGGAGCACTTGGTTAGCAGTCCTCGGTGGAGGGCCACTTCCACATTCATCAGCGCCCCACCCTGGGTCTCATAGACCTCCGTGGACCACAGGGCACAGTTGAGGTGCACCCACAGGTCCAGGTCCAGGTTCAGCAAACGGGCAGGCCCATCGGTGGCCCCATCACCCTCCTCATGACAGAAGCAGCAGCGCCGCAGGTCTCGAGGCACCTTGTCAGGTCGCAGGGCTGTGCCAAGTTGTTCCATAAACTCTGCCACTTCCCGCTCATCCTCCTGCTGCCCACTGCCCTTCTGGATGGTCAGGAGCAGCCGCAGACGCTTCCAGCGCACCCCTTTCCACTTCTTGAGTCGAGGGGGCCGGCAATCTTCACCTTCGTCAGGGGGCCGGGCTCGGGGCTTGGGCCGGGTGGACTCAGGGGAGGAGGCCAGGGGCAGAGGCGATGGGACAGATGGCTCAACTGAGGGTTCAGCAGGGAGCTCGACTAGGGGTTCAGCAGGGGGGCTGGCAGGAGAGGGTGCCACGGGGGATGGGGGTGGGGAGGGTTCTTCAGGAGGTGGGGCGGAGAGCTGTCGAACGTCCAGATTGGAGACATTGTAGGTGTAGCTGTGTTGGGTGGGTGGCTCTGGGATAGGGCTCTCCTATGGGAGGGGGCACGAATCCTGTATGGTTAGTGCCAGCTCCTCACTTAACTATCCCTCTCCCTTCTCCCACCCAGATCCCCCTCTCCCAAAAGTGGTATACCCTCTCTGCTATCTCTGTCCTCACCCAGACCCACCTGTTTCAGGAGGCTCAAGATGTCTAGCTGGCTCTTGAGAGTATAGCCAGGCAACATGGCATCAAATTGCTTCAGCCAGTCAGGGCCAGCTTCTGGGCTCTTGCCTCCCAGACCTTTTTCTTTCCCACCTGCAGGAAGGAGGGGGTCAGAGCCTCCCACCAGAATCATTCCCCTTAGGTGCCCAGGTGTTTTCCTGCCACACTCACCAGGGCCCTCAGCTTCCCCCTTCTTAGGCTCAATGCCTGCCCGGGCAGGGCTCTCGGGGAACAGCACCTCATAGGAGTTGGGGATCTTCATGCTTAACAGCTCTGCCACTGCCACCATCACACCATTCAGGTTCTGTCAGAGCAGGAAGAGGAAGGGAGAGCCTTGTCAGCAGGTTGTGTACAGTGAGCACTACCACCAGCTTGATGGGAACAATGACACCTAGAACACAGCCCCACAAACGGCTGGTCAGTCCAGCCCCTGTGCCATCTAACTCTTCCACATACTTGTTTTACGGTGGCCTTTCCCAAACTGCTGTGGGCATTAGCAGGAGCTCCACAAAGGGGCCTGTGTCAACTAAGTTTAGGAAATGATATACATTATATCCATAACCTGGGAGATTAATGATAATTAGCAAATTAGAGAAGCTGAGGAGTCTTATAGTAAGGATTCCTGTTTGGTTGACAACAAAACCCTGTGAACATTAAAAAACAAAAAACCGTTTCATCAAATATAGTGAGGTGCTGCTTTTATCATATATCACATTATAAACACTTGCTTTACCCCGTATTTTCTGGCGTATAAGACGATTCTTTTTTTTTTTTTTTTTGGGGGGGGGGGGGAAGGGAGGGGAGTCAACTGAAAATCGGGGCAAAAGACCAAAATTGCACAAAAATTATCTGCAGATCTTGACAGCAAAGTAAGTCTTTTCTTTGAAGTGGGGGATAGTCTTAACAGTGAATACAGGCCTAAACCTATGTTTTAACTGTAAAATTAGGGGGTTGTCTTATACGCCGGAAAATACAGTATTTGTTGAGTGTATCTTTACCACAGGACTGTGAACTCCCAGAAGGCATGAACCCTTCATGCTTCATTTCCTCTAATCCTACAGCCACTAGCCTAGGCTTTCACAGTACCTAGCTTTAAAGGACCGAATTTACCCAGACAAGCTTCAGGGACTGCCCTCTGATCAGCACCCGTTAGGCCTCTAAGGCACCCTCTAGGACACACCTTGGCTGCAGCAGCAGAGACCGTCAGCATGACTGACACCTCACTTCCTTTGCCCTTTTCCCAAGTTGTGGCAGGCAGCTTTCCAGGGACCTCCAGGTCTAGAGCCCCATAAGGTTTGGTATCTGGGAAGACTAAATGAGAAAGAGGAATCTGTGTTAGCCTCAGCTGCCCCTCTGCCCCAGTTCCGACACCCCAGCCTGGCCCGGCCTGGCCTATGTTCAGGGCAGCCCCTACCTGGAATGCTGGCCCGAGGAATGATGGGGATGACAGGGGAAAGAGCCCGGTCTTCCTGCTCCCACTGCCCTGAGCCCAGCTGAGGGAAACGAGGTGCCTCCTCCCCCAGGATGCTCTCAGGGGATGAAGCTGGCACAATGCTGTCAGGAGAATCACTGTCCTCATCACTCTCCATCCTGTGGGCAAAAGTAGACATTTACTGCTACAGCTCTGCAGACCCCCACTCCCAGATCTAGAGATTAGTAGATATCACAGCCTTACTTAAAATCTACTATTGGCCAAAGGGAAAATGAGACAACCAGATCCCTAACTCCATTCCTCACCCCCATTTCTGGCACAATCCCCACCTGACATCCTCAGTCTGATTGTGAGGGGGTGTAGGCAAGGCAGCCAGCAGATCTAGACTCTTCACCTCTGAAGTATCTGAGGGGTAGGTAGGGAAAAGAAAAGTCAGACCTAGGGTGGCTAGAGTTGATGGTGCTTTCTCCATCATAATTCAGGCCTAACTAGTACAACATCTAGCTTAGCTATCATGACCACTGTCTACCCATCTACCAGCTTGGAGCAGACAAACTATATTTTGAGCATTTCCAATGTGTCAGGTACACTTTTTATTTATATCAGTTTAACACTCCATTAAATATTATAATATCTATTTTATAGTGAGGAGACTCAGGCTCATACAAGTCAATCAAGTTACTGGGTTATAATAACATGGCTAAAAGAAAGCAGGAACCAGGAATCACAACCAGCTCTGACAATAGTTTATACCCACCAAGGCTGTCTGTTCATTATAAACAGAAGTTTCATTAACACTCCGTCATCCACTTCCCTCACTGATTGGTTCTAGACTTCCGATGCCCATCCTTGTCTCCAACAAATCAGTCCTGAAGAGATCCTTTCTAGCTCAAGTACTGGTTGTGTGCACACAGTGAAACATGCATCTATGTCAAACTGTTTGACAGGGTACACGAACTGGCTTGGACACCAGCCACCAAATCCTTCTAGAAGAGAGGCCCACTCTACTCTTGACTTACCCCTCAATGTTCCTTCAGTATCCCGGGCAGAGGCAGCATCCTTGGGGTGCTCCCCCAGCTCTTCAGATGGAGTGACGCCATTCACCATCTTCTGCTGCACCGATGGGGGTGGGGTGGGGGGCAGCGACGAGGGTGGTGTCGGCGGGTTACTCAGGTTATTCTGGGGGTGGGGTGGGGTGTTGTGTGCAAGATGGCAGGGGGAGACTGACATAATCTCCTGGCCCCACACTATATCAGCAACTTCCTCAAGTATCCCACTCCCACCTCCACCTCCCCAAGAACCGCATCATCCCCAAAAGGTATTGTCATTTTCTAACCTTGGTAAGCAGCTGGGAATAGTAGTCAGGGCCAGTGGGCAGTGTCCCACTTCCAAAGGTCCCCCTCAGCTGGCACTGCCCACTGATTGGGCAGGTACTGCCAAAGGGAGCAAAGAGGCTAAAATTGGCGGTGATGGTAGGCTCCGTTAGGGGCAGCAGGGACAGCTCCTAGGAGGGGCAAGATGACAAGGTTGGAAACCTGCAGCACATACATCTCTGCCACTGCATAGCTGGGGGCCAGGGTGCCCCCTTATCCTGAGTTGGGACCAGGGGGCTGGCTCCTGGGGGTCACCTGTTTTAGCTGTTTCAGCAAGGCCTCGCTGGCCCTGACCCCGTCCTCCTTCCGCAGCTTCTTTCGGGAGCTCACCAACCTGTCGCTTGCCTTCTGTACCCGCTTGGGCTTCGGTGTCAAAGGTTTCCTGGCTGCTGTATCCTAAGCCGGATAAACCCACAGTGAAGGTGGCTGTCTTCCTCAGAGCCCTCACCTCTTGTTTGACCAAGACCTGCTCACTCTGCCCCACGTTCCAGGCCTCACTCTACCTGGAGTACTCACCTCCTTATTGCTGGGGGTACCCTGTAGTTTCTGCTCCAGCCCAGCCAACTTGCTGTCAATGTGCCCGTTGATCTCTGTTCGCAGCCCCTCGGGCCCCCGCCCAGTGCTGAGTTGCACATTCTTTGCACGTAGAAGCTTCTGCAAGAGCAGATGCCCGGCCTCTGAGCGGGGCCCTGCCAGCAGGAGGTGGTTGCCGGTACCTGGTGTCCCTATTGGCTCCCCATTGGCCTCCCTCTTCACCACTTGGGTTCCCAGGGCACATGGCTCTTCCCGAGGCTCCTGCTTGATGCTGAGATAGGATGGTTCGGGCACCGCCTGCCCATTCACCTGCTCTGGATGCCCAGGTACCAGGCTGCTCTGTTCCGGCTTCTGGGCTTCTGCTGGGTTGTCTGGGGGATCCCAAGGTCCCAGCCCCTTGCCAAATAAGGTATCTGCAAGCTGGGCAGCAGCAGGTGAGATCTTCCCAGGAGGTAACTCCAAGGGCAGCCCTTGGGGTTTGGGAGTCCCTGGCTGTGTGGGAGGGAGCTGGGCCTCAGAGGGGAGCTGGGAACTAGGGGATGGTAATTGTGAAGGTCTCTTTGGCTCTTGTGGGCTAGATGGTGGAGGTGTGGGATGAACAGGACCAAGGACTGGTCCAGTTGATAAGGCTCCTTGTGGGGCAGGGAGCCGGGGTGGGCCCTGAGGTCGAAGCCCTGCCCCTAGCTCCTGGAGAGGTCCAGTCTGGGATCCAGGGAAGCCCCCAAGTTGGGGCTGGCGGCCTAGGAGACCCTGGAGGGGAGAGGGCTGGGTCCCAGGTTCCTGATAGGGTGGGGCCTGGCGTATGGACTGACTCTGCTGTAGCTGCCGCTGCATGAGGAGTGTCTGCAGCTGCTGCTGCTGCTGAGGGCTCAAGTGCCGCAACTGTGGGTTTTTGGCCAAAACTCCTTGGAGCTGTGCTCGAAACTGACCCACTGTAGGCATGACTCCAGCCCCAGGCAGGCCCTGCCCAGACTGGGGGACAGATCCTGGTTTGGCAGACTGTGGCCCTGCATTATTTTGCAAGGGCCGCTCTAGTCCATGGTGCTGTTGGGAGCCCAGAAGGTTCTGAGTTATGGGCCCAGGCTGCTCCCCTAAGGAAACAGATGATTGGGCCAGCAGGTGTGGCACAGAAGAGGCCTCTGAAGATGATCCACTGTTTGATTGCCCATGGCTGCCCACACCTGCTGTGTGGAGCAAGTTAACTTGCTGCTGCTGCTGTCCTTGGAGCCTCAGAGGTGGCTGCAGTGGCACAGAGTTGGGCTGAGGCTGGGCCTGGGGTTGGACAAGCAGGAGTTGGGAGTCCCCAGAGAGTGAGGGCTTTACTTCCCCTGGTTCAGTGGGCACTGCCTCAGGTACAGTCCCCATTGCTACACCTCCCTGATGTGTGGAGGGCCCCTCAGTAGCCTCTGGAGGAAGAGTGGTCTCTGCAATGCTTTGTTCCTTGCCCGTTAAGAGGAGGGTTGGGCCCAAGGCTCCGGAGCTAGAAAAGTGTTGTTGCAGAGGCTTAGCTGGCATTCCAGGACCAAGAGTCACTTGCTGCTGCTGCTGCTGCTGCTGCTGCTGAGGAGACAGTAAAGTTCGACTCTGGTTTAAGAGGCCTATCTGCTGCTGTTGCTGCTGCTGAAGCTGCTGTTGCTGTTGTAGCTGCTGCTGTTGCTGTTGTAGCTGCTGTTGCTGTTGTAGCTGTTGTTGCTGCTGTTGAAGCTGCTGCTGCTGTTGTAGCTGTTGCTGCTGCTGAAGCTGCTGCTGCTGTTGTAGCTGTTGCTGCTGCTGAAGCTGCTGCTGCTGTTGTAGCTGTTGCTGCTGCTGAAGCTGTTGCTGCTGTTGTAGCTGTTGCTGCTGTTGTAGCTGTTGCTGCTGTTGTAGCTGTTGCTGCTGTTGTAGCTGCTGCTGCTGCTGCTGTTGAAGCTGCTGTTGCTGTTGTAGCTGCTGTAGCTGCTGCTGCTGCTGTAGCTGTAGTTGCTGTTGCTGCTGCTGCTGTAGCTGCTGTTGCTGTAAGGAGGCCATTGGCTGAGTGCTAAGCTTGGGCTGCCCACTATGTGGCATCAGACCCTGCTGAAGATGAGAAAGCCCTGCCATGGGTCCCTGCTGTTGGTGCTGCTGTTGCTGCTGCTGCTGGGCTGTGACAAGTCGGTGTCCCATAAGGCCCTGACTTTGCGGTGCCAGCTGAGGCGAACTTGGCACCCGGGACTGCGTCAGAAGCACCTGTCTGTGAGGACCCTGAGGGCCCAAAGCTCCAGGGTGTGATTGCTGCTGCTGCAACACTGCCACCTGGGCAGGGCCCAGCATGCCCTGGGGCCCCTGAGGTGGTTGAGGGGACAGCTGCTGGACCAAGAGACCCTGATGGCCGCTGGAAGGCAGAAGCCCTTGGGGCTTGGGACCATGAGCCTGGTTTGCCTGTATCCCAGGTCCCTGCTGCTGTTGCTGCTGGATTGCCACCTGCCCTAGGAGGTGCTGCTGCTGCTGCTGCTGCTGCAATTTCTGGGCAAGCTGCATGCGTTGCTGCTGTAGCTGTAGCTGCCTTTCCTGCAAAAGCCTCGAATCAGGTCCCAAGCCTCGAAGAGCAAGATTGCCAGGAAAAAAGCCCCCTGAGGGGCCAGCCAGGGCTCCAGCCCCGCCAGAATGTTGTTGTTGTTGTTGTTGGGCCAAGGTTGTGTTGAGGAAGGGGCCACCAGGCTGTCCAGGTAGTGCCATGCCCCCTGGGGGCAGACGAAGTCCAGCAGCTTGCCCACCAGGGGGTCCCTGTGGTGGCTGTAGCGCATGGCCAGGGAGCAGCTGACCAGGGAGCTTGGTGAGTAGCCGAGGACTCTGGGAAGGGCTAAGAGCCAGCACCGCTGAGTGTTGTTGCTGCTGTTGCTGCTGCTGCTGCTGCTGCTGTTGCTGCTGCTGCTGCTTATTCCGATATTCTGCCATGAGATTTGTGTGCTCCTTCTGTTGCTTCCGGACCTAATGGGAAGGTTGGGGATGTCAGCCTCAAGCCTGCCCACCATGCCAACCCTCTTCCCAGTTCCTGGTTGCTAAGCTGAAGCCTGATTTCCCCACCTGATCCAGCTGTTTCTGGATCTTGCTCTGCTGCTCCGTAACCAACTTGAGCTTCTCAGCATCAGCCTCTGGGAACTCCCGGCCAGCCTTTTTGGCAGTACGCTGTTTGGCACACAGAGCCTTCCGGGATTTGCGGTGCACACCAATCTGTTCCTCTAGTACCTTCAGCTGCATCTGTAGGAGCTGTTGGGTATGGAACAGCCACTCTTCATACTGTCGCTGGTCAGCCTCATCTGGAAAAGAAAGCTGGTGTCAGGACCCATAGAATGTCATCCCAATTCCTCTTCCTTCAAATGCCTCAGGTCATTTTCTTTTAGGCTTCTCCCCATTCCCATACTCACTGATCACTCCCTGGGCAAAAGTAGGTGGATTGGGACGAGCCTGGGAGGGGTCACCAGCATTCCTCTCCTGCAATGACAGACATTGCTAAAGGGTCATATTTCCATACCAGTCCCTAAGAAGGGTGACCCAACAGCCTGGGATACAAATTCCTACTCCCGCCTTATCACTTACCTGGCCACTCCCAGTTGCTACATGGTTCTGCAGATCACTGCCAGTCCCCCCTGAGAGCCTCTGGGCTAGCAAGGACACTTGCTGCCTAGAGTTCAGCGAAGCAAAGAGGATGTGTTAGTAATGGGGAAATATGAAAGGCAAAGAGAAGAAACAAGTAGGGAAGGAGATCAGGAAGAAGGGAAGGACCGGGAAAAAAAAGGTCCAACTGCCACCCAAGACTTACCTGTTCATACCAGGTGCCACTCCAATGCTACCCTGAGCCATCACCTTCTTGATGCCTTTCAAAGCTACCATCTTGGCCTTTGCAATGGGATCAATGATATCTTCTGCAGCAAATTTGTCCAGGTCTGGAGAGGGAAGAACCAAGGGAGCTGGGCATTTGTGTCAATGCTCCATTCTATGTCTGCTATTGCTTCCAACACTTAAACTTATATCAAGCCAAGCAAAACAATGGCATTGCATGATGGAAAGACCAATGCACTAGGAGCCAGGCAGCCTAGGTGACTCAGCTCTACTATTCACAGGACATGTGGCCCTGTTTGTGTTAGGAAAAGGTACTCAGTAAATATTTGTTAAATCAATATACCAATGTTATTTCACCTTTCTGAGCCTCAGTTTACTCTACTATTTGGTAGAGATCACAACTTCCTTTTCTGCCCATCTCATGTGGCTATGAGAAGACCACATATGACAAGAATGTGAGCACAGGTGACCTTTGAACAACATAGATTCGAACTAAAGGCTCTAATTATATGCAGATTTTTTTCATTAAATACTGTTAAATGTATTTCTCCTCATGCTTTTTCTCAATAACATTTTCTCTAGCTTACTTTATTGTATGAATACAATATATAATACATAAAACATACAAAATATGTGTTAATTATGTTATCAGTAAGGCTTCTAGTCAACAGTAAGCTATTAGTGGTTTTTTTGGGAATCAAAAGTTATACACAAATTTGACTACGTGGGGGTCAGCACCCCTAAGTTCATGTTCTTCAAGGGTTAACTGTCCATTTTTTTTAAATTTTTTTTAATCTAGAAAGCATTATTCAAAAGTGTGTTCTTGCCCGGCCAGTATGGCTAATTGGTTGAGCATCAACCTATGAACCAAGAGATCATGGTTCAATTCCTGATCAGGGCACATGCCCAAGTTGCAGGCTCGATCCCCAGTGAAGAGCGTGCAGGAGGCAGCCAATCAATGATTCTCTCTCATTATTGATGTTTCTATTTCTCTCTCCTTCTCTGAAATCAATCAATATATATCTATCTATCTATATATATATATATATATATATATATTTAAAGTAGTGTTCTTAGAGCAATTAGTACAGCCCAAGAACCAATCTGGCAAAGCCCTAGATGCCAGAGCTACCATAGATCTGACATTGATCACCTGCATCCCACTTACCTGCCTGTCCTGAATATTGGAGAGAAAAAGAAAAATAACCACCAAAAAATTCAATCTTTCTAAAACCATACACACTGTATATTTCTCCACTACTCAGTAAATGTTAACTGACTCCCCACTTTTTAAAGGACTAACCAAAATCCCTCCCCTGGTCTTTTGAGGCAGTAACACAGTTAAGAGGATCAGAGGGCCAGAGCTCAAACTCTAGCTCTGTTAGTTGTGTGATCTTGGGCAAGTTACTTAACCTCCATTCTTCATTTTCCTTTTCTGTAATCGAAGATAATAATAGTACCTATTTAATGACTTTGTTGTGATGATTAGATAATGAATGTACAACACTCAGTACATTGATTGCAAATAGTAATTACTCAATAACTGCTATTACAATTTGAGGTCTATAGTAGTACCCACTCACTTCCCTCTACACAAATTCTACTCCAACCTAACCACTTCCTCATTCTCCAAATATACCCCACCCCATTGGCTCTCCTGCCAATATCGTTCCTGTTGCTCCAGGGTCAACTGTACTCAAGTCTTTTCATCTACCTGGAGTGTTTTCTCTTGCACCTCTTCTCTCCAAGTCCTAATCCTTAGGTCTTACCATAGCTACAAAGCCTTTGCTAATCAGGCTTCATGTATTCATCCCATTCCCTCTCTCAAACATCTGAATGCCTGTTTTGTGCCAGGCAGTGTTCCCCTCTTCTTAAAAGCTTCAATGCTTTTACCTACAGTACTAGTATGATATTTATTCAGATTTATGTCCCACCTCCCTTAACTATGAATTACCTTGTATCTGCAGTTTCAGTGCCTATTTGTTGATGACAGTGACTACCCGGGTAACTAAACCAGTGCTCCCAGCTGAGGTTACCTGTATCTGGGAAGAAGCTGTTAGCCAGCTGCTGCTGCATCGCCAGCTGTTGGGGTTTCATGCACATGGAGGGTGGCATGGTACCCATGGGCTTCTGTGCCAGCACTGGCTGTGGACTCTGCTGGGACACCAAGCCTGCTTGCCCCCCATGCTGCCCACTCATCATATGTCCTTGGTTGGACACTATGGCCATGGATGGGGCCAGGCGCTGCTGAAGGGCATGAGCTGGTGGCTGGGTGGGCATCAGTGGTTGGGCTAAGCCTGGCTGTCGTGCACCTCCAAGTCCCAGGGCAAGCTGTTGTTGGGGCCCAGCCAAAGTGGAAGAAGAGCCCTCATGTGACAAAGACATGGTCGGGGCAGGGCCTGGTGTGGACAGTAGAGAATGCTGCTGTTGCTGCTGGGCCGGCTGCAGCTGTGCTGAGAGCTGCTGTTTCTTCTGCAGCTCCTTCTTCTCATGCTCCAGCAGGTCTTCAATAAGCAGCGGTAACTCACTGGCGACCAGAGAACTCTCCATCTTGTCCAACTCATCCCCAGATGCTGCATGTCCACCGGGCAAGGTCAGGGCTCCACTCTCTAATTCAAACTTCTCCAGCAGAGAGGATCCTCCTGGGCCACTCAGTGGGTTAGGGGTCAGCAGGTGAGCTGGTGGTCCTCCTGTGGCTCCAGTGTGCCCACTGCTGGAAAAGGGTCCTGTGCCCATCCGTGTGTCCCGGCTGCCCATCACACTCTGACCTGGCTTCAGTCCCAGGCCTAGGGAAGTGGTGGCAGGCGCTGGCTCTACCTTGGGGTTGGTGATGGTGAACTGGCAAGGGGAAGGGTGGCGCCCACCCTCCTCCACCTTGGGCTTCACCTCAGGGAGCACTGGTGCCAGACGGGGCTCAGAAGCATCAGCAGCAGGGGGAGGGCGTTCCTCAGGGCCCAGGGGTCCTGGCTCCACCCCCCGCAACAGGGCCTCCCGCTCAGCCTTTTCATTGGCTGACTCCACCAGCCTCAGGTGCTCATTGAAGATGTCCTTCTTGTCTCCAGTGTCCAACTCAGGGTCAGTATAGGCCAGCAGGTCAAACTCATCTCCATTGAGCAGGTCATCTAGGTGGGGATCGTTGGTCTCCAGGTTTTCCAGGGTGCCCAGCTCATCATCTCCCTTGGCCACATCCACACCCAGGCCCAAGTGAGCAAGTTCCTCATCATCCTCCAGGGCCTTGTGTGCATCAAAGTCATCATCCAGCTCAGGGTCTTCACAGGGTAATTTCCCAGCTTCCAGGGCCAGAGGAGGGGGGCGGCCAAGCTCAGTGCTCGACGGGGGCCGGCTGACCAGCTCCAAGCCAGGGGTCAGGGTGGGACCCTTGGTGTTGGGGGCTGGATGGAGGCTGTTGTTTAGTTCAGGGGCCAGCGGGGCTGAGGGTTTCTGTGGGGGAAGGCCTGATACCGTTAGACCACGAAGCCCTTCAGGAGCCAATCGGTGGGAGTCCTCACTTACAGGGTAAAAACGGGGTCTCTGAGGAGGACCCTGACCAGGAAATGGAGGCCCCCCAGGTCCTAGTACTTTTTGTACATTGTGCCGCAACTCAATGAACTGGGCAGGACCAGCTGGACCAGGCACTGGCTCACCAGGGCCAGGCAGGCGAGTGGGAAGTCCTGCCATAGGGGAACCTAGGTTTTGGCGGCCAAGTTCAGGCCCAGGAGTTGATGAAAAGCGAGTAGACATGGCAAGTCTCATGGAGTTTGCTGCTGTTGCTTGCTGCTGCTGCTGCCAGAGGTGTTGGTGTTGCTGTTGCTGCTGTAAGGGCAGGGACCCAGGATAGGGTGCTCGCTGATAGAAGGCTTGGGAGCCTCCCACCAGTTGCCTGGAAGAATATGTAGTAATCAGTAAGATGAAGTAGACATCAAGATGAAGAAGAACGAAACATGGGCTGAGGGCAGTAGGGAAGGGTAGAATTAATGTGGCAAGGGGGAAGGAATAGGGGAGAAGAGTGATACTGGAGAAGAATTACAGAGTAAGTCAGAGGCAGTACACACAGGTGGTCAAGTCTGTCCACTTGCTTTGCCCCCAGTAACCCTGGAGCCTCACCGGCTATTCACATCCATAGAGGAAGGGGTGGCTGGTGGAGGTGGCCGTGAGAGTCGGTCATCACTTGGGAAAGCCCCTGGCCCTAGGATGGGGCCACCCAGCTTGTTTGAGGGCAGCCCAAGGCTACTCTTATCCTAGGAGAGATAAGAGACAGATGAAGGTGAGGCCACCTTCAGTAACCTGGGCCCACCACACCTTGCCACCTACCTACCTGGGTCCCAACAAAGGGGGTCTGGCCTCGACTCAGCTGCTCAAAGGCAGGGTTGCTGGGCTCAGCACCCCAGCTCCCTGCAGGCCCCACTGCTCCTGCAGCTGCTGCCGCTGTTTCCTTCTCCTGCCGCAGGGTATTGCGCTGGATCTGTTGCCGAATCAACAGCTCTCGCAGTCGCTGACGCTGTGCAGAGAACAGAAAAGGGTAAGCCTATCGTACTCTAACCACAGGGCTGGCAAAGGAACAGTGGAGGTATGAGGGAGTCAGCTCCACGATGTCAACTCACCTGTCGTTGCTTCTCCAGCTCTGTCTGGCTGAGGCTGGAGATACCTGGGTCCTGGGTACCTGGAAGTTCAGGTGCTGCCAAAGAGCCGGCCATTCCAGCTCCTGGGTCTTCTCGCTTATCGACTGGAGAGGTGATGCCAGCCCGCTGTGAGGCTCCATGGGGCGGGTAGGGGAGGGATCCATCGGGTGCAGGTGGTGGTAGGACCGATTGGGGGCGTAGCGGGGACAGCCCATAGCCCTCTCCTGTGGACCCGCTGCTGGGTCCCAGAGGGCTACCCGATGGGTGGAAGTTCCCCGTGGCTACTGAGTAGTTTGTGCTTTGAGGCTTGCCCAAAGTAGGGCCAGGCCCAAAATGGCTGTTGATCCCATGGGGTGGAGGGAGACCAGGCTGAGGGACAGGGGGCTTTAGAGAAGAGGGTTCCCCTACTGCCTGTGGGAAAGTGAAACGCATGGGAGAGGGCGTACCCACAAATGCACCCGTCCCAGGGGATCGGGCGAAATTTGGGGGCTGCCCACTTGGGACCTTGGCATGGAGCTCACCTGCTGGCCCTGAGGGCAGGGCTGCTGGAAAGCCCCCAGCCCCCAGTGGAGTGTGGGCTAGAGGCCCAGACTTAAAGGCAACTTCAGGGGGCTGGGGTCGGGGTGGCTTATGCAATGGGGCAAATGGGTCACGGGACTGAGGGCGAGAGGGTGGGCGGGAATAAGGGTCAGGGGATTGGAAGCGAGGGGTCACAGGAGATGGACAAAAAGCCTCAGCAGATAAAGGACGGGGTGTCAATGGGGACTGGGAGCTGGATTGGGACTGGGGACTAGCGGGCACTCGGGAGAAAGGGTCAGAGGGCAGTGATCGAGGGGGTAGGGCACAGCAGCTCTCAGGGGCTGGGGGCTGGGGTCGAGGGGTCAATGGGGGCTGAGCATAAGGGTCAGGGTAGGGGCCAGGGCGAAAGATATCTGAGTGGCTGGGGGGAGAAGGGGCCAAACCCTGGGCAGGGGATGGCTCCTGGGGCCTTAGGCCCAAGCCCGGGCTCTGGGGCTCTACCTGAGATGCCCGAGGGGTTAGGGGGGCTTTGAAGACATCAGGTGCCTTTAACTCTAGGCTGCCCAGGTGGGGGCCTGAGGGTGAGTCAACAAAGCCCAGGTTTGGAGGCCCATAGCTAGGAGAGGATGCCCCAAGCTCTTCCTTCTTCACCTCCAGAGCTTTCCGAGACTCCCCAAAAGGCGAGGGTGACAGCAGGGGCTCGGAAGCCTTGCCACTCCCTACCCCTGGGCTCTCAGGCACAGCCAGGTTGTCCAATGAGGGGCAGCGGGGTTTGAGGAAGGGATCAGGTGTGGAGGGCTGGTGTCGGGGGGTGCCAGGAGGGGTAGTGTGGAATTCCCCTGGCTGGCCAGTCCCAGGACGAGATGAGGTGCCCAGCGTCGGGGGCTGCACAGGAGCCCCAGTCGGACTAGGATAGGGAGGATAGGTAGATGGTGCTGTGGGGAAGCGGGGCTCCAGAGCGTAAGCAGGGGCCAGTCCAAAGGGGTCCTGCGAAGGCACTTGGGCGGGCACCTGGGATGGGAGCTTGAGGAAGAGCTCACCGGGCGAGTCGGGGCCAGGCACCGTGCCCGCCGGCGGCTTCAGGAACCCGTCCGCAGAGGTAGACAAGCCGGCGGCGGAAGTGGGGCTGCCAATGAAAATGGTGGGGGCCGCAGCGGGGGGCGGACTGCCCAGTGCCCCTGGCTGGGGGGGAATGCGGAGATGTAGGGCCGGTCGGTCAGTCTTACGGGCCATGTCGCCCACCTTGGTCTGCTTGTTGATCTGGCTCTCAGCCTGCTATGGAGGAGACCAGGCACAGAGCAGTCAGGCTGCTGTGGACAGGCCCTACATCCCCCTACCATCACAGAGGCCACCTGCTACAAGATGTCAATGGTGCAGCCTGGTGGGGCCCCCACTCACCTTTTGCACCTTGTTGATGCGGTGAGCCGCCCGGTTATCTTTGGCCTTTTGCTAAAGGATGGAGGACACAGCCTTAGGCCTAGGGCTCAGCCTCATGCCCAACCCCCATCCCTCACATCACTCACATTCCCTACCCAAAATCTGATCCCTTCTGGCCCAGTTGCTTTAGGAGGAATGGAAAGAACTGAAATTCCCCCCAAATACCTCCCCAACCCTGTTCCCAGTCCTGCTAACTCAGGCTTCCTTCTGTCTCACCAGATAGGGGGCTTTATCAGCGGCTGGAACTTTTCTCCAGAGCTTCATGATTTGTTTGCAACGGCTGGACCAGTCTGGAGGGCAGAGGGATTACATTAGGAAACTTGGCAGGTGACCCCTGCACCTGCCATGTTACCAGGTTGTGGTCTCCCTTGCCCTCGTCTCACAGGTACCTGGGTAATCTTGCTTGAGATTGGGAAAGTTAATGTTGGCATACAGCACAGGCGAGATAGTGGAGAGTTGGCCCAACTCCTCATCCTTCTCCCAGCGCTGAAGACTCCGCTGGTTATAGGAAAGCCCGTCGCCCTCACCCTCCGTGGTGGGGGTGGTGGGGGTGGAGGGCGTGGTGCCCCCTGAGCCTGTCCAGGGACTGTCTGGTTCACCTGGTTCCGGGCTAAAGAAGCCCCCGCGCTCCCTAGGGCGCAGGGGCAGAGAGTCACAGGGAGCAGGGATGCCACACCCCAACCCAGACAAACTGCCCAGAGGCCCCAGGCCAATACCCTGCCCCAACAGAGGAGGGCCACTAAGAAGGAGGTGGAGAGAAAAAGGGGGAAGTATTACTACAGCAGCACCCAAGGTTCCCTCCCTTGGCATGAGCCCAACTGGAGGGAAGGGACTATGGGGACGGCCCATGACGATTAAGCATAGATACCAACCTAGAATCCAAGAATGGGGATTGGCAGAGGCCAGGATAGGAGTCCATTGGGCTGCTGGAGGGGAGATTGCCCAAAGGGAGTCCACCTACAAGAGGCACGGGATCAGAGAAAGGGAGCAAGCGGCCCATCCTGGGGGCAAGCTTGGCCGTACCTGCCCACTAGTCTTCAAACCACCCAAATCACCTTGAAGAAAGGGCCTCTGCAGCGGCGTTCGGCTGCCATCTAGGCCAGGGGTTCCACAACCCAGATGCTGCTCTCGCTCAGAACCCAGAACGTCCTTGAAGAGCTGCTGAAGGTCCTTGGATTCTATCTTGGGCAGTTCTGTAAGGGATTGATGGAGGATGCTGCTGAGGGAAACTGGGGAGTTGAGGAGACAACTTCACATCTACAGTCATGGCCCGGGCAGGTGCCCAGGACTCCCCACTGTATAAATGAGAGTCTCACAAGCAGGACTTTCTCCTTCTCCCACAAAGGACCTTTTATACATGAAGAGAGCGGGTCACAGCCTCACCTTCTGTAGGAATCCTGTCTAAGTCAGAGCTAAGCATCCCTTCTCCCGGGGTTCCTGGCTTCTCGGGGTCACTGGGCACTGGGGATGCTTTTACGCCCCCATCCTCAGGTCCTTCAATGAGCAGGAGAAACCCATCAGCCAAGGCCAGTATGGAGGCACCACACTGACCAAACTGAACTACAGAAGGCATGGAAAAGTTTGACAGAAGCAAAACCAAGCTAGGACGAAGTCCTCCCAGCAGGCCTCACCTGGTGTATCAGCCTTGCCCTCAGCACCACGGGATTCTTCATCTGCAACCTCTGTACCATCATCTCCTATAAGCAATAGTCGCCATTCCAATCAGAGATGCCCCACATCTGACATCCAGAATGGGTCTCCAGCTCCACAGGCCAGGGCCCTTGGCCTACCCTCAATACCTAGAGACCAGTCCATGCCCCACCAAGTACATTTCCCAGCTGCTAAATACAGAGAAAAGTTGGTTCCTTTCAGACCACCTTACCACCACATGACTGACCTTTCTGTAAGGTGGGGAGCTCCTTCCTATCTGAGCTTCCGTCCCCCTTGGCTTTTGGGGTTCCTAGTGCAAAGCTTGGCCGGCCCACCCCAACTGCAAAAAGGGCCTTCCGGCTCAAGTCCAACAGCTCCTTCCCAAAGAAGGCCTCCTGTGGGAATAGGCAGGGAGAAATGGGCTTCTTCATGTTCTGAAGGGCACAATTCCCTGCACCCTTCAGAGCCTAAGGCCCACCTGCAGGTAAGCAGGAAACATGTCCTCTAGTTTGCTCTTCTTGCGCCCTCGCCGCTGCTGCTTCTTCTTTTCTTCTGCATCTGCTGGGCTCTGTTCCACAGAGCCCTCTGCAGGCAGGTCAGCAGGCATCACTGGGAACAGAGAGGAAGGGTCAACTTCTCTAGGGACACTGAGCATGCTGCTCCCAAGCTGGCCTGAGGATGCTTTTTGCATACTCTCTCCCCCAAAAGCAACCAGACCCACCACCCTTTCAGCCCTTTGAGTGAACCCTCCCCCCGGGCCTCCCTGGCAGTGCCCTATAGGTCCTGTGACCCCCACCTTCTCCCAGACCCCAATGGAGCCCTCACCAGTCTCACCCTCGTCGGGCTGCCCATCCCCACTCAACACCTCCGCCTGTGCAGCAGGTCCCTTTTTCACACGTGTGTGGGATTTCCGCTGTCGCACCATGAAACCACCAATGCCTAAGAGGAGGCAGAGCTGAAGTTGAGAAGCAACTAGGGACTGGTGAGCCACCCCTCCCCACCCCATTTCCCATCCCAGGGCCTCACCGGGACGATAGGGTTTGCGTTTGCGTTTTTTGCTCTCCTCAGTCTCCTCCTTGCCAGGCTCTACGTCAGGGCTGATGGGGCCCTCCAGTTTAATTTCACACTCCATGTGCTCCACACCACCTGTGTGTTTGAACAGAGGAGATGGAGGCAGAGCAGAGGTGTGGGCCACCCAAGAACAGAGAGCTGAGTGCCTTGCCAGAGCCATTGGACAAGACCAACAGTGGCTTGAAAATGACTAGTAGTGACAATGCTGCTCCTTCCCAACATCCAACTCTCACAGGCAAGCTCCCACTTCTTTGGCACTCAGATTCCCTAGCCTTACCTTCACCCTTGAGCAGCTCTTCGGTGTCTAGGTCCCCATCCTTCTTGTCATCAGGGCCAAGGGCATCTGAGGGCTCGGAACCTTCCAGCCCAGCCTCACCCGGGAGGCCAAGCCGTCCTCGCCGCTGGCGCCGCTTGTGTAGGGGTGACATGGTAAGGTTACGCAGCACAGCCATGCCAGTTTCTGTCAGCCACACACCCTCGAAGCGAAAGTACTGGGGCTCTGCACAAAGGGGAAGAGCATGTGACCCCAGGGAAACCAGAACCCTAAGTTTCAGCCTAAGTCCCCAGCTGGGACAAAAGTGGAGAGGACCGGTCACCTAGCTAAAGTTCTAATTCCTGACTTTGCTCATGATTAACTCTAGGTCCACCATGAATTAAAATATGAATTCTCTAGCTGTCTGGGCCTAGAAGTGCCCCTCCTTGCCAGCTGAAGGCCAGAACACAGTGCCCCGGATGCCTACATTATAATGGAGGAGATGGCTCGAGCAGTGTCCTGTGCTCTCGGGAGATGACACTCTGGTAGTACAGAGGCCATGTTTCCTGGTGAAAGAAACTCTGCCTGGGAAACTAGAGGCCTTGGTTGTAGTCATAATTTTGTCAATAACCTAGTGGGTGACCTTGGACAGGCTACTCAATCTCTCTGGCTCTTAGTTTCCTCCTCTTAAAATGAGATAAAGTTAGGGGAGTGGAGCTGGACTAGACAGTGTGTAAGTTCTCCTTGGCTTTGGCACTCAGAATTTCACCTGGCTCTTTCACCTTCATAGACACCAACTCTGGAGGCGCAACAGGTGCTGTGGAGAGGACAAACCAAGCCGATTTGAGGCCCCGTCCCAAAGCAAGGCACCCCAATTCTAACTCCTCCTCCCCTTCCCCAGCACCTGGTACTCACCAGCAGGCTTAATTATGTAAGGCTGGCAGGAGACACAGTCAAAGCCCTCATCGGCTGCCTGCTCCACATCATCCTCTGTGAAGAGGCTCTCGCAGCTAGCATGCATCCACCTGGAAGACGGAAGACATGAGGAAATAAACCCAAACAATGCAAAACTGAGGATAGGGAAGAAGGAGCCAAACCAGGGGAAAGGAGCACCCTCACCGTTCACAATGGCGGCACTGGATCAGAAGGTCCTCTTCCACATATGGGGCATGACAGATAGGGCAGGTCACCAAGCTGGCACAGGGCCCGCAGTGTGTGTAACTGTTCTGCCATTCACAGTGGAAGCCAGGGGAGGCGGCCCCACACTGCATACAAGACACACACCTGGTGGGAGCAGAAAGATAGACCCTCAGCACCTAAGCTACCCAAGGCAGCCAGAGGTGCCCTCCCTGAGAACCCTGTGACCCAGCCTGGTCTTCTAAACCCAACCTGTCATGTGTTCAACATCACATCCACTGTGACATCTCAGGCCCAGACCCTTCTCAAGATCCTGGGTCTCCTTACCACTTGCACTTCCAGCCGCCTTTGGGCACGGTGAGCAGTGGGGGGTCCAGGCAGTAGGTGTGGTAGCTAATGTCACAGTCATCACAGAGCAGCAGGCGTGAGGGGTCTGAAGCCTGGCCGCATACCTCACACACGATGCACTCCACACAACGCCAGCCCTTTAACAGCATCACCTTGGTGATCTGGTACAGAAGATGACAATTCTTCAGGGTATGATGGAGAGGAGAGGGCAGACTTCTTAGGGGAGGATGGGACTTATATGGGTGGGGCTGGAGGACCCCAGTGCCTAGGCCAGACCTCCATTTAAGCAAAGAAAGGCTATGCAAAGCATCCTCACCTCAAAAATATGTAGTGACTATATACTTAGGCTCCCAGGGACCTCTGCTGTTCGGAGAACAGCCTCTCCTGGCCACTGCCTCATTATGCATGGACTGGCAACCTTTCACTAGCCAAGTCCCCAACAAGATTATGGGTAGGATAGATTGTATTTCTCTAATTTTTCTTGAACATTTAAAATCTGCTACTAATGCAAGTTAATGTTAGCAGTGGACAAGTTCTAAATGAATATCAAACTGACTAAATGAACAACAAACTGACTAATTATGCTTGAGTCAAAAACACTGCTTTCTCTTTAACATTTGCTTATCATTTTCACTTTACATTTTATCTCCAGACTATATCATGCTTTCTGTTAGTAAAGTTCTCATAGTTTCTGTGATGGACTGGATCATACCAGCAACTCATGGTCTACCATGAAGACCACTATCATTTCCAAAGTATTTTCCCCCAGGATGTGTCTGACAATCACTGGTGACTGAAAGAATGACTTTCATGACCAATGGCCACTTTAAGTAGTGTGGGGGCCTAAGATAGAAATAAGTGACCCCATTCCCCAACCCAGGCCTCTTGGGTTCTGAACTCACCTTGCTGTTGACACAGTATGGGTGATAGCACTGCGAACACTGAGAGCAGGCAAGGAGGTGGCCCTCTGCTCCCCGGCCAAAGCTGCCACATACTACACACATGTCCTGGAGAAATACATAGAAACCCAATGTCCAGCTAGGTAGGTCTCCTTTTCCCACTCAGTCCTGGCAACTAACTACAACTCTAATCTAAGGGAAGAAGTCAGGGAACTAAAAGCCCAACCCCTGGCCTCAGGACACTGTAAGTCATCATTGGACCCTATTCCTTCTTAGGTTGATGTGTTGCCTGGCTGGTGTGGCTCAGCGGTTGAGTGATTCCCAGTCAGGGCACATACCTAGGTTGTGGGTTGGATCCCTGGAGGCAACCAACTGATCAAAGTTTCTCTCTCACATCTCTCTCTAAAAAGCAATAAACTTATTTTTTTTAAATAGCCTGATATGGATAAAAGAAACAAATGGAAGAAAATATGTGTAAATATTAGTGAGGCTGAGAGAGTAACATATGTGCCAGTATTCTATCAACTTTGTAGGATTATTTAGGTGAGAACATACATAAGCTCCCTTCAACAGGATAGAAATCATTTCTGCCTTTTCACTGTTATATCCCTAGCTCCTAGTTCAGTGCCAAGCTCAGAGGTGATACTCAAGAGAAATCTGATGGATAGAAAAACAAATGAACAGTGCGATTCCAATTCACTGTTTTCTGATTAGCTGGGTAGAGAAGGTCTTTGGTTTTCTGCATCTGCTCTCCCACCTAAACACATACACCCAATGTGAGTCTGCCAGTCACGTATGGTACCTGCATTAGGACAAACTTGTCTGTATTGGAGAAAAGAACCACAGTATTTTGCATGGTGTCGTCATCATCATCTTCTTCCTCCTTGCTGGGAGAGCTATCGATATCAGCAACCTTATAGGCAGAGAGTTGTGGAATGTGAGGCAGCTAAATCTGCGCCAACTAAGCTGCTTTCCTCTTTGGTGCTGGGGGAAGGAGGTATGAACCCCTGGCTAAATGAAGGCCAGAAGTCAGACTAAGAAGCAGAAGAACATCCCAGCTCCCAAACTGGGCCTCAGCCCAAAGGCAGAGATTTCAGAGAAGCCAGGGGACCAAGTGGACAGAAGGAGTAGACAGAGCCAGACAGGCCCTAGGCTAGCAGGCAGGCAGGTGAGCGTGCAGGGGACTGACAGGATTAAAGGGTGTTTAATCTTGAAAGAGCCAGCTGAAGCATGTTTGGGGGGTGGGAAGCCTCTCCTTACTACCAGAGTCTCAATGGAAGAAGTGGTTGATTTTAGCCGGGCCCGTCCTCTCCCGCGTCCTCCATGTGCTCCTCCACGTGGCCGGCGTCTTCCTGGGAAACTACTGCTGCGACCCTGAGGGAAGGAAGTGGATAATAACAGGGAGAAGTTGAGGGTGAGTGAGCTGGGCCCACAGATTTGGAAGGAAGAGAAGAAACTAATGAGTAGAGCATAACCGGTAATGAAGGCCAGGAGTCCCAGCAGGGCAAAGGAAAAGCTAACTCTCAGACAGCAACAGGTAGGTAGCTCTTCTCCCAAGAAAAGTGGCAAAGTGGTACAATGACAAAAATACTGGTGTTAAAGGCCTGAATCTCTAGTTGATTCTATCACTGAATAACCATGAAGCTGGGAAAGTCACTTCCCACTCTATGTATTAATATTCTCCTTAATAAAACAAGAGTGGACTAAAGGAGTTCTGACCGTCTAGAATGCAGTAAGCCAGGTGGGAAGGTATAAGTGACACAGGATTGTACCTCTGACATCATTAGCATGAAGTTGACCACATCCAGTGACTGGATAGCCCCTCACCTGTTTGATGCGGGAACGAGCTGGGGAGCTGCGCCGCTTCCCCTTGTCCCCTTCAGCTTTGCCTCCACTGACAGCTGTCCCATTATCACACAGTAGTGAGTCATCAGTCTCTGGCAGAGAGTCAGTACAGAGCCGAAGGGAGCCTTCATCTCGAGCTGGACTAACATCTGTAGATACCCCCAACTCCATAGACAAGGAGCCGCCCCCCTCGGGGTCAGGAGAGCCCAGCAGAGGCTCTGAGCCAGGAAAACTGGCACTGGCATCGCCCTGGCTCAGATTGGAGATCTCATTAACGATGTCGGATTTGATGAGAACAGGTGGGGTAGGGGCCACTGGTGCATGTGGCTCCTCTTGCTCTTCACAGGGTGAGCCCTGCCCTGTCTGCTTGCACTCTGGGCCATAGACCTCCATAGGGGTCACAGGGGCTAGCTCCTCGGGGTCCAGGAGCACAGGGGAACCCTTAAGTTCACTAGCCAAACTGCCAGGGGTCTGTCCAGCCTCTGGCTGGGAATCAGGAGTGTCAGTCCCATCCAGAGGGGCTGTGTCTTCCCCCAGGCCAGAGAAGTCTTCCAGGGGTGGGGCAGGGCTGGGTGCAGGACAGGAAAGGTTTCCCATGGGGGAAGGGAGAGGACTAGTAGGGCTAGGCTCCAAGGCTGGGCATTCAGGTTCTGGGGCTTTTTCAATCTCCATCTCAGGCGGCTCAGCCTCATGTGAGACCTCCATTGCCTTCTCTATGGGACTCAGTGGGGAGGGAATGGACAGTGGCAGAGCAGGAGGAGAACACTGGGAAGGAGGGGAATTTAGGGGAGGTAGGGGGTGCTGGAGGAGTGGAGAACACTGAGAGGGAAGGGATTCCATCAGGATGGGAGAGGCCAGTCCCATTGGGGAGCCTGGAGATGGGGGAAGGATCATAGGGGGCACAGGTTCGGGGTCAGTGCAGTTAGCTTCCGGAGGAGGGCTAATGGGTGTCTCTAGGATGGGGGCAGCCAATGGTGACTCAGGGTCACTGTCCCCTTTGGCACCAAAGGGGTACTCTAACTCCCCCAAAGGAGAGAGAGATGGTGGGGCCACAGCTGTGATAATGGGTGAGAGCGGAGGAGGAAGTGGATCTGGAACGAAAGAGAAAAAGGGAGGCTCTTAGTTAGATGTGCCATAAATAATAAAGACTGTCCCAGAGAAAGAGGGTACTAACATTCCCTTACCTGGTGGCATCAGCTGAGGTGACAAGGATGGCTCCCTAGATGGGGACAACGGCAGCTCCTCAGGCAGAGGGGACAGAGGTGGCTCCCCAGGCGCAGACAGAGCCGGCTCTCCAACCAAGGCGGATAAGGGCAATCCCTCAGGTGCAGAGCATAGGCCTGGCTCCCCAAGGGGCTCTTCAGTTTGAGGGGACAGGCATGGTTCCTTAGGGTGGGGAGACAGGTGTAGCTCCTCAGGCCGGGGGGACAGATGCAGCTCCTCAGGCCGGGGGGACAGATGCGGCTCCTCAGGCCGGGGGGACAGATGTGGCTCCTCAGGCCGGGGGGACAGATGTGGCTCCTCAGGCCGAGGGGACAGGCGCAACTCCTCAGGCGAAGGAGATGGCTGTGGCTCCTCAGGCCGGGGGGACAGGTGTGGCTCCTCAGGCTGGGAGGACAGGCGTGGTTCTTCCGGCTGGTGGGATAGGTGCAGCTCCTCAGGTGCAAGTGTTAGGCACAGCTCCTCAGGCTGGGGGGGCAGAAGCAGTTCCTCGGCTGCAGGGGACAGGCGCGGCACCTCAGGGCGCGGGGACAGGTGAGGCTCCTCAGGTTTGGGGGACAGGTGCAGCTCCTCAGGTTTGGGGGACAGGTGCAGCTCCTCAGGTTTGGGGGACAGGTGCAGCTCCTGAGGCTGGGGGGACAGGCGAGGCTGCTCAGGCTGGGGGGACAGGCGAGGCTCCTCAGGTTTGGGGGTCAGGTGCAGCTCCTCAGGCTGGGGGGATAGGTGCGGCTCCTCAGGCTGGGGGGACAGGCGAGGCTTCTCAGGTTTGGGGGACAGGTGCAGCTCCTCAGGTTTGGGGGACAGGTACGGCTCCTCAGGATGGGGGGACAGGTGCGGCTCCTCGGGTTTGGGGGACAGACTCAGCTCCTCGGGTTTGGGGGATAGACTCAGCTCCTCAGGTTTGGGAGACAGACTCAGCTCCTCAGATTTGGGTGATAAGCGCAGCTCCTCAGGTTTGGGGGACAGGTGCGGCTCCTCAGGATGGGGGGACAGGCGCGGCTCCTCAGGTTTTGGGGACAGGTGAGGCTCCTCAGGCTGGAGGGAAAGGCGAGGCTCCTCAGGATTGGGGGACAAGCGCAGCTCCTCAGGATGGGGGGACAGGCGCGGCTCCTCAGGTTTGGGGGACAGGCGAGGCTCAAGATTGGGGGACAGGCGCGGCTCCTCGGTTGTGGGGGACAGGCGAGGCTCCTCAGGCTTGTGGGACAGGCGCGGCTCCTCAGTTGTGGGGGACAGGCGAGGCTCCTCAGGCTTGGGGGACAGGCGCAGTTCAAGTCGGGGGCAGAATTGCAGCTCCTCAGGCAATGGCGACAGGGGTGACTCCTCCGGTGGCAAGGACTTGAGCAAGTCCTCCGGTGGCGGAGACACAGGGGAGTTTTCGGGTGGGGGGGAAGTGGGTGACTCCTCAGGTGGTGGGGATACACGTGACGCCTCAGGTGGTGGGGATGTGGGAGACTCCTCAGGTGGTGGAGACAGGGGAGACTCCTCAGGCGGTGGGGACAGGCGTGACACTTCAGGCAGGAGAGATAGGCATGATACCTCAGGTGGGGGGGACATGGGTGAATCCTCAGGTGGGGGGGACATGGGTGACTCCTCAGGTGGTGGGGAAAGGCGTGAAGCCTCAGGTGGGGGGGAGAGGGGAGACTCCTCTGGCGGGGGGGACAGGGGTGATTCTTCAAATGGTGGGAACATCCGCGATGCCTCAGGTGGAGGAGACATGGGTGACTCCTCAGGTGGAGGAGACATGGGTGACTCCTCAGGTGGTGGAGACAGGCGAGATGCTTCAGGTGGTGGGGAAGTGGGTAATTCCTCGGGTGGTGGGGACAGGGGAGACTCCTCAAATGGTGGGTTCAGGGGTGATGCTTCAGGTGGTGGGGACAGGGGCGTCTCAAGTGGAGGAGGTGGGGGTGACTCCCCTGGTGGAGAAAAGGGTGACTCTTCCAGTGGAGAAAAAGGTGATGATTCAGGCGGGGGAGACAGAGGAGACTCCTCAGGCGGTGGAGAGAGGGGCGATTCCTCCGGCGGCGGGGATAGACGAGATGCCTCAGGCGGCGGGGATGAGGGTGATTCCTCAGGTGGTGGGGACAGGGGTGACTCCTCAGGTGGGGGCAGCAGTGGCATCTCCTCATTTAGGGGGACCTCCAACTGTGGCTCAAGTTGGGCCCCTGCTCTCCCTGCAGATATAACATTCTAGCTCAAATCCATTCCACCAAAAGTGCAAAGTCTAAGGCAGAGCAGAAACTGTTCCTTACCACAGAACAGAAGGGGGTTACTTTCATGGACCCTCAAACCCTACTCACCTAGTGGTTTGGCTTCACATTGCAGGGGCCCCGGTTCCTTGGGTTGCATAGAGGTCACGTGCCCACCCTTTGGCTGCCCTTGGCATGCAACGTACAGAGTATCGGGCTCATCAGTGGGGGTATCGCCAGGCTCTGGGGGTGAGAATCTGCAGAGGTACAGGGGAGTAGGCATTGTGGCTCTCGTCAGCTATCAACTCCTAGAGAGTGCACTGGGGTAAGGCATGAATGCTATGGATTGTACTGCCCACCTTAGGGCTCCCTCTGCCAATCTCAGCACTTCCCATCCCGCAGCCCAATCTCTTTCAGTCCACACTACTTACCTGCTACAGACAGCAGAACGCTGCTCAGCAACAAAACTGATAGGCTGTCCTCCCTGGGTTTTGTGACAGCGGTAACAGAGTGAGTAGTTCTCGAACCACTCAGAGTTGGGATTCAGCTCTGCTGAGCCTGCCCCACAGGACCGGCATACCCGGCACGCCTAGGAGAAAGGAGAAGGCAAAACAGGCATCAGTCAGATGGCAGAGACTAGAGGGGAGCATGGGACCTGTCACAACAGAGAAACTCTGGATGTTATAGGAGGCAGAATTAGAAGAGTAAGGCAAGATCAAGGACCCTCACCTTGCACTTCCAAGAGTGAGCAGGCAGTTCCTCCATAGGTGGTTTTAGGCAGAAGGTGTGGTATCCTTTGTCACATGTCTCACAGACCAACATCTTAGAGTCATTCCCAGGTTTCCTGCAGAGAAAAGGCACATTATAGGATCCCTCCTTGCCCTTGTTTTTAACCATAAACTGTGCTTTACCTAAGGCTTTCCTCTGCCCTCCCATTCTTACCTGCAGGCTTGGCACACTTTGCATTCAGGGCACTGCCAGCCAGCACGCTTGCGGGCAGTCAGAGCAGTGTCCAGGCAGGCCCCATGATAGTGATGCCCACAACTGGTACAGAAGAACAGGTCACACAATTCCCCCGGTCCCTCACACACTGCACAACGAGCCTCCTCTACAGTCAAAAGGGACAGAGAACACAGGTCAGATATGGATTCCTTGCAGGACTCAGAACAGTGCTGTCTACATAACAGGCATTCCATGGACCAGAATGAACAAATATATAGTTACTAAGTGTCTGCCTAATATATGCTAGGCATTGTTCTAGGCATTGCAGACATCGTAGTAAACAAGACAGGCAAAGCCCTGCACTCTCAAAGTTCACACCTATTTTAATGAGGCAGGCTGACAGTATAAAATTACCATCTTTGATGAGTGCTCTGCAAAGTACAAACCCCAGGCACTCCTGGCCCCTCACTGCCTGGTGTACAAGGGGCAGGACTTCTCACCCAGATGCGCGGCACCCTCACTGTGCTCCGGGCATAGCAGCTGCAGTTTTTTCATGGATAAGAAGGAACCGCTGGCAGTCGCACAGGGGAAGTGGTAAAGCCGTGGACATCCAGGTGAGCGACAAGGGATGGAGGCACCAAGCCTGGTGCAGTGGGAGCAGTGCTGCCAGGGTGGAAACAAAGCCTCAGTGCCAGTCAGCTCACTCCAGAGCTAGATCAGGCACTAGCTCTGCCCTAGTATGCCCACTGCCCTTACATTCTACTCTGACTCTCAGAAGTCCTGTCCACCCTGCCCTTTACCTATGCAATCCCCTGGCCCCAGCCCCACCTGTGAGATCCCTGAGAAGATGGCCTTGTCCACACCACATAGTTCTGGGCCTCCCTTCCCCCATACACCGGCCGACCACACAGCACACCAATGGTGAGCCCAGCAGGACCCTGTATAAGAGGAATAAGGCAAACAGAAAGGAACGAATTAACAAAAAGGTAATCTCTGGCTTTGGACCACCCAGCCCCTACCCTCCTTCCTGCCCAGGTCAGTTACTTACCTCCAGGTTCTCCTAGGTGGGCAGGTGTCAGGCCCTCAGGGAAACCAATCTGTGATAGGTCCTCAGTGGGCAGTGCTGCCTCATTGTGCCCTGAGCTCCCCCCAGGAGACACCACTGGACACCGGGGCCAGTCAAATGGCAACTCAAAGCGCCGTAGCTCCCGCTGCCCATGCAGACTGGGCTCCCCGCAGTTACAGAGAGCACAACGCCGCCGTGGACCCCCACTGTGGACATACAAGCATCAGCACAATGCCGGGCCCCTGCCCAGAGTCATCCCCCCTCTCCCCACCACAACCCCATAATTTAACACGCCTGTGCTTCCCAAACACTCATATTTTCCTAAATATTCCTCCTGAACGCCCCAGAATCTCAAATCAAACCCTTTTGTACCTTTAAGTCCTCATTTCCCCAAACTAGTTACCTGCGGTCCTGGGGAGGTTCCTGAGGCCTGAGACCCCCAGAAGTGGGCACAGATACCTCCACCACATGTGGGTTGGGAAGGTCTGCCTCAGTGGCGCCTGACTCCTCAGAGGCTGCATGTCCATCAGCTGAATGAACAGAGAAGCGTACATCAGCCATCAGCCACTATTTAATACTAGTCTACTCACCACATCTATAAGATTATCTAAAACCGTTTGTGGATCACACTGAGGGCATTTTGACTTTTGTCCCAAAGAACAAAGTCCTGCAATTACCTATCTATTAGACACACTTAGCTCCTGTCCATGTGCCAGGACTAGAAATTTAAGGTTGTCTGGGATGAGCAGAAAGCTGTCAGTAAACCCAAAATTTGCCCTACTCACCTGCCGGTTCTGAATCTTTATCCTCACCAGGCGGCTTCTGGCTATCCATCCCTCTCTCCGACTGGGCAGGGCCCTCTCGGGGAGACCTGTCAAAGCCAAAAAAAATATCTATATGCTCCACTAAACACTTTACCCATAATCCTAGGAGGAATGCAGCTAATGGTATCTAAACCTTACAGAAATCAAAACAAAACCATACCTACAAACTACTGTACCAATGACAAAAAAGTTCTGCCTAGCCTTTATCCCACTGCCTACTTCCTCCCCAGATAACACTGACCCTCTTCTCCAACTCTGGATTCTCAGAGGATCCCCTCCCCTTTTTCACTTCCTTACTCCTAAGAGTTCCCAGGGCAATAGCATCCAACTAGAAGCACATTCAGTCTACATCTAGTATTGTTGCCCTTTGCCCCACATCTGAGTTCTGGGCTTCTGGTGGGCCCTTTCCCTATCCTTTTCCCCGAGGTCTCAAGTCAGCTACCATCCTAGAGGTCTGGCAGTGCCAACCAATGGGTAATCATAACCCAAGAAGTCTGAGTACAGCTGAAATCCCTCTCCCAGAGACAGAGTCTGGGGTCTTGCAGGATGTAGAACATGTTACTGAAACTAAAGCCCAGGTATGGATAGGTTTCCCCAATCTCCACTGGTTCCAACCAGGACATCCCAATCACAACATAAGAAACTCCCCAATTTCTACCCACTGCCTAGCCAAATCTAGCTCAGGCCTGGCCCCTGCAGCAACTGAACTCAGGATATCAACCAGCCTGAAGTCCTCAGGTCGTTGCCCTTAGCAACGCCAACTGCCCTTCCTCCTAAAATATCCCTAGTAGTTAACAGAAGTGGGCCTTAAGAGTCACTGAGCATGTGTAGCCAAGCCTGAAGCTAGGCATGCTGGGAGTTGTAGTCTCAGGAAGCACACTGCCACTTGGAGGAGTTCTAAACAGGACAGGACACAGCCCAGCAGAGTAGCTTCCTTCCTCTTCTGTCAACCAGGGTTTCCACACGCACTATGGGGGTGTGGAGTAACGGTCCCCTCTTCTAAAATATGCCTGCCTATACCAGAGCCAAATGAAACAAACACTAAAGTTATATATAAGAATATTGAGACCCACATCTTTTGGCATATTTTCCTAAACCTCAGAGAGAACTAAACACAGACCAAAAAAGAAAGAAGAATAAAGAAAAATTACAGAGTGAGGTAGAAAAAAGGGTTCCTACAGAAGGAAGGAAGAGATGGGTGCCAGCAGCTATTAGTGGTATCTAAGGTAAGGGCTTAGCAGAGAAAGAAAAGTATAGTATTCCCAGAGAAGAAGGAGGGTGGGGAGAATCCCTAAAACAGAACTCTAAATAAAATTTGAAAAGTTTATCTCTTGCCTTTTTCACTCCTTTTGTTTAACCAGAGGGGCCACTTACAAACCTTAGCAAGGACAAGCCCCTCTTCTCAAACCAACTACCAAATAACTTGTCAGCCACTTGGGGTTGAGTGACTGGAGCAGATGAGACAGGCGAAACCCTCAAAGGTGCCCAGGATCAATAAATCAATTACTTGAGAACCATAATATTAGTCTTCGTTCCCTGAACTCACACTCCACTTCCAGAGATTAATAATGAGCCTCTGTGACATGTCACAGGAAAGGAAATTTTATTTTATTCCCCCCAAACTATCAGAACCTACTAGATGAGAAAGTGAAGTATCATTTGATGCCTGTTCCCTCCATTCCCACATCATCTCTTTCCAAAACCTACCATACAGCCACACCTGAAAGGAAAGCAAGGTGGTTGTCTGGCAGGCCCAAGAAAAGCTGCTCTGGAACTTCAAGGGGCCCAAGAAGCCACCTATGAGGAGTGGGGGCTGGAGTTCAGGGCACCAGCCAGGCCCCTCTTCCTGTTCAGTCATTCAAGGCTTGAACACACCCAGAAAGCTCCAGTTTCCTAAATATGTGATTTTTACTGTATGCCCCCAAGATCTTCCACCTGCTCTGCTCTTAAAGTTAAGTCCAAGGAGTCACAAATAAAAAGCAACAGTGATAATACAGTGGGTGGGAGGAAGACTGCTTCACACAAGGCCAGAGGGACAAATTCCTCTGCCCTCCTCGGAGCACAGCCCTCTCAAGCTGGTAAGCCTGAGGAGGTTCAGAAACCACCTGCATCCAGCCTTGGGAGACAGAGTACCAACATCCTCCAAAACCACAGCCTTACTCAAGGAGTCACGGAAGACGAGAGATCACAAAGTGAAGAGAATGTCCTCCAAGCTATACTATATATACTATACTATACTATACTATACTATACTATACTATACCATACCATACCTCCAAGAAGCCTGAGCCCCATTTCCCTACCCTGCAGCCTGGCACCTGCACCCCAATGCTGAGTCCCAGTGTCAGGCCCCTGAACAGATCTAAACAAATAAATACCACAGGTTCCCTGTCCCATCATTCACAGCCAGACACCATACACACACCATACATACATCAAGGGTTTTTTAAATGAGCTAATGCCTGGCTAGGCTTCCTCCAGGTAACTTGAGTTCCCCCTTAAGTACAGATCTAAGGAGTAAAACTGTGGCTCCCCTTAGTCCTAGGTCTATGAAGCCCAAAACAGCAAGGAAGAAGGCAGGGTGGCACACTTTCCTCTCTGCCTCTAACCCAGAGCAATAGCTTTAACTCCATTTTCCCAGCCAAGGGGCAAATGGAGGCTTGGAGGGGTGAAAGGCTGAAGCAGGCTCTTGAGTGAACAACTTCTGTAGGACTCAGGACTTCCTGGTTCCCAACCTGAGAATCAAACCACACCTCTCCCCACCCTTATTTTGGGGTGACCCTCTAGGAAGAATCCAAATGGCAACACTAGTCCTGTAGACCCTCTAGACCAGCGGTCGCCAACCTTTCAGACATCACACGAACCACCAGTGGTCCGCTGACCACCAGTTGGCGACCTCTGTTCTAGACAGTCCCTGGGTCATCCTGGGGTAATCCACAGCTAACAGGGAGAGGCCTCTCCTAAGGAAGTTCATTGAGGACAGACAACAGGAGGGGTCCTCCACAGGAGGCAGGGGCAGAGAGCATGGGTGACAGCTAACCTCACTCTACCACCCCTGTGCCACTTCCCACCTTGGGGTTAATATCCAGAAATCTTTCAAGGGCAAAAATCCCTATTTTCTCTTTTCCAAGACCAGGCTCAAAGAGATCTAGCCCAGTATGTATGTTTCAGGGGGTGGAATGAAGGAGTAAAACACACCAGCCAAATCCCTGCTGGGCAGCATGACAGCTGTGAGAGGGACTGTTCCAGCCTAGGGCCAGAGGCATGAGGCTCATGCTGCACTCTTCCTGCACTCACATGTACACCCCTTCTTCTCAGCACCTTCGGACAGGTTTGGAAACACTAGCTTCTGCAGAAACAGCTCTGCAGATCATTTCTCCTCCAAAGAGATACAGACTCCTCTATTCTGTAGGACTGTGACAGGAGCAGAGGGCCAGTTAACATTCCCTGATCAAAAAGGATTGGAGAGGCTGGCATGGGCCTGCAGGATTGGCCAAGGACTTATGAGCAACCAGCTCGCCACACCAGGTCCTGAGAAAGCGGGGCACAAAAGCCATTTTTTGCAGCCCACATTCCCAGGGAACAAATCTCCACTGCCTCCTCCATAATCCTCTAGAGATTATGTCCATCCTGAGAAGAGGGGAGGCAAACCAGGCTAAGACAGCACTAGGCCTCGCTGCGGTCACTTTGCCAGGCAGGGGTACTTTAAAGTTGACCAGCAAGGCCAAACTGCCCCCAGCCCCACCTCCTTCTTGCACCAGCCACCCCCTTCAACACACTAGTCAGTTTTCACACACACTTCCCCGGTCCACAGTCTAAGGCCTGGTGAAGGATCTACACTTCCTTGAGTCTCCCAGAGACTGCTCTGAGTACCCCGATGGGCAAGAACAATCTTAAAGTCCAGCTTGGCAGTAAGTCTGACGGCAGTGGCACCCTGCACCCTAGCAAGTTATTCTGTTCCCTAGGCCCACAGGGAACCCTGAGGGAGAAACAGTAGTTGATGAGGATTGGTGCTGGCATCGGGGCCTGGGTCCTACTAAGTCGAGCTCCCCCAACACAAAAATAAACAGGCAGAGGCGATCTGGCCAGGTTTTTCTAAAACCCCCGTGGTTCCCTGAACCCCCCAGTCTTGAACGAGGCACACCCCAAGACACCAGGCCTCACTCAGTTCTGCCCCAGCCACTGGCTCAGGTTCCCTTGACAGACCCTGCCAAAAAGAACCCTCCTCGGCCCTGGCACCCCTTCCTCCAACCTAAAGGCCAGCTCCGGCCAAGACAGTCCATCTGGCCGTGCCCCCAGTCCAACCCTTTCTGGGCCTCGGCCGGACGGACTTCACTCACCTCTTCACAGGGCGATCCAGAAATCCTCATCCGAGAACATGGCCAGAGCCCGGGCCGCTCCCCGACCTCCAACCGCCAGAGCGATCACAGCCGCCCCCCGCACGGGGGGGCCTGGGGTGGCCAAGAACGGTAAATCCAGGACGGAGTGGCCACCCTCCCCTCCAAAAAAGAAAAAAGAAAAAAAAAAAAAAAAAAAAAAAGCAAGAAGCCAAAGGCCGGTTCTGTGCTTCAGGTCCCAGCAGTTTAGGTTTCCGTGGACAGCCCGAGGGCGGCGAATCCCGAGCGGACACAAAGAGAGCACCGGCGGCGGCTTTGATCTCGGGGGCGCAGGCTCCGCATCCGCGGCGTCGGGCGGCCTCTCAGTCCTCGGGCCGGGCCAGCGCCCCGGCCGCCGGCGCCGGGCTCGGGCTCGGGCAGGACGTCGAGGCTCTCCAGATGGAACGTCGAGGCGCCTCCCCAGCGGCCCGGAAGGAGCGCCGCGCCGCCCCGCGCCGGCCCGGAGGGCACGGGAGCCCCTCGCCGGAGCGCCGAGCCCCTCTCCCCGCCGCCCGGGCCGGCGCCCCGGGGCCGCGCGAGCTACGGCGACGCGGGGCCGGCGGGGCCGCGGGGCTGGACCTGACACACACCCAGCGACCCCGAGCGCTCGCCCTCGGCGGCTCCGAGCCCTCCACCCTCGGCTCCCCCCCGGGGAAGGGAGGAGGGTAGGTGGGCGAGGAAGAGGAAGGGGCGGGCGGTGCGAGCCCTCTGCCCGCTCTCCACCGGCCGCTCCAGGCCCTGCGCTCGCCTCCCTTCCCCTCGGGCCTCCGGAGCTGCCCCGCCCCCGGCCTGGCCGGCTCTGATCTCGGCGACACTCCCTCGACCCCCGGCTGGCTGTGGTCGCGGGGGGCCTAGAGGTGTACGGCCCAACCCCGGCTCCCGGCGCCGGGGGGTCAGGAAACTGAGCGGAAAGTGGGGAACGAGGCAGCCATTTGCAACCGGAGAGGAAAGTAGTGCAGCGCGGCGCCGCTCCGCCTCCCCCCCTCCGCCTCCTGCTCGGCCGGTAGGGTGGTTCCTGCGATGGGGCTATTTCCCGGCCCGAGGTCTCGGCAGCGGTCGTGAAGATTCCGGAAGCCTCCGGCGCAAGACTTAGGGGGGGCCCTTGTGCCTGGGGGACCCCACTCGGGAAGGGGAGAAAGGAGAAGATTGGCCCTATTTTGTGTTGGAGCGGAGCAGCGGAGGGATACGGCCCTCTCGGAGGAAAGGCTGTGACTCTGCAGTTCTACGCACACGCCGCGGGATCCCTCCGCCGCGCGTTAACCCCGACGGCGCCGGGCGGCCGCCGGGGAGACACGTGGGAATGAAGCCCCCCTCCTCCGCGCCCGGGCCCCGGGACTGCCTCCTTCGCTGCCCGGATCGGGAAGCTAGGACTTCTGTCACTTTCTAATTCCGTTCCCGTGGAGTTCTAGGTCCCCCGAACTCCAACCGCCCCCTTGCATTAACCAGAAGCGATCTTTCCTGGGGGGGGGGGGGGAGACAGAAGAAGAGCCTGGAGATTGGCCGCTGCTCTGCATCTTGGGAACTGGAGTCCGCAAATGGAGAAAGTGAGGCACGGCGCCTGGCGCTGCAAAGGGTGGCTTTTTGCCACGTTCGGGGACCCAGAAAAAGCGGAACGAGTCCTTGCTTCTGACTCTCAAAACCCCTCGTGAGGAAAATAAGACTGTCAGTAACCCCCCCCATTACCACACACACCTACCCCACCAAAACATAAATGTAGTTCCCTTCCTTTCCCTGGTGCCCCGACCCCCAGGCTTTTCGGATCTTCAGGGCCTGTGTGTGTGTGTGTGTGTCCCCTTTATTATTTTTTTTAAAAAGTAAACTAGAGGGGCTGTACCTTGGATCCTGGCTGCTACGTGTTTGGAGTACTGTTTGCAGATCCCAAACACTCTGCAAACCACCCTTCTTCCCCCCCTCCCGCCCCCCCATAAGTCTAAATGAGGAGTGGAATGCCTTTTCTGTCTTAGCTGTACCCAAGGGATGGTCAGGAGGAGACAAATTCATTATGTACTAGATACTTTATATATTCTTAGTTATGCATTACGTGGATTTTGTCTGTGTTATAGGTGAAGCGACAGGGTAAAATTGTCCAACAAACCACATCTAGTGGGAAGTAGAGCCATGAGTAACCAATGGCCATGTTTTTCCTAGGATTGAGGAAAAATATATTAAGGAAGAGGTGGAGAAAGAGCAGGCAAATTATTCTGTGGGAAAGGATTTACAGTGCTACACAATAGAACTTTGTGCAATGATGGAAATGCATTTTAACTACACTAATATGCACTATAGGTACACTAATATAACTTGGCCACATGTAGCTATTGAATACTTTGAAATGGAGGTGGTACGACTGAGGAACTTTTTAATTTAAATACTAAATTAAACTTAAAAACCCATGTGTGACTTGTGGCTTCCATATTGGAGAGTGCAGGAGATCTAAATCCCTACTGGCCAGAGTCACAGAAGGGATTAGGACTAAGAGTGCCCTGTGCTAGCCACACAGTAACATCTGTGCCCTGCACTGACCATGCAGGTCTATTTTAGCAAAAAGTTCCAGCAGTAATCCCACAACCATCCCAGCTATAGTGGACTATATAAATCAAGACAAAAGCTGAAAAATGGCACACACACCCCTACTCTCTGCACCCAAAGGCAGGGAGGTAGACTCCACCAGAAAGACCTCCAACAACAAAATAGCTACCATTTCGTAAAGGTTTATTATGTATGAGAAGCTGTGTTAAGCATTCCATATATCACCTGTTTAATTCTCACCTCAACCTATGAAGGTTTGACTATACTTCATAAATGAGAATTTGAGGCTCACAGAGCTTAAGCAAGATTACTCAACTAAGTGGAAGAGTAATTATTCCAGCCCAGCCATTCACCACTATTCTTTACTACTATCCAGTCTTAAAGTTGACCAATACACTTCTAGAAACCCTCAGGCAAAAGCTTATACCAAACCTCCTGGAAATGGCAGCAGGAAGGCAGGTGCCTGTAATGAGTGTTCCCGGTGAGATGTGCAATAGGACCTAATTTAATGTAAGGAGAGAGGGCGATGACAACCCTAAATAGACTCCTAAGTCACTAAAATTGCTCTTTGCAGTATGCTTCTTCCAGCAGCCTTTATTTCTTTTTAGATTTTGGATCAGAGGTGCAAAGCAGTTGTCAGGGCTTCTGGAAACCAGCATGACAATTATCCCCAACTGTAAGTCCAACTAGCCTAGAACCAAGCACTAGCAAGATCACAGCTAAAAATCACAACTACATTTTGTCCATCCTCCCCAACTAATAATACCTCAGTCTCCCCCAGTTGGCAGAAGTTTATGCCCTCCTGTGAAGGATGCCATTTAGGTAACTCCTTGGAGGAGATATACAGCCAATTAAGCCCTAGGACTGGTGGGAAGTAGGGGATAGGCACAGAAACTGTATATATATATAGAACCAAACCTTCCTAGCTGAAATATATCCATCCTCCAATTGAAGTGGGCCAATAAGGTTAGAAGCAATAGCCTTGATGCCTAAAAACAGAGCACAATTCCAGAGATGTGAAAGGCATCAAAAGGTCACCAAAGGTATGAAAATAGTAAAGAAAATCTGTTTTAAAGAAAGGCAACTATAGACATGGGGATACAGGAGGATGGATACACACCAGAGGCATTATTTCTTACTTTACTCAATTCTCTTAGAAATACCAAATCTTGCCGAAACCGGTTTGGCTCAATGGATAGAGCGTCGGCTTGGGGACTGAAAGGTCCCGGGTTCGATTCTGGTCAAGGGCATGTACCTTGGCTGCAGGCATATCCCCAGTAGGGGATGTGTAAGAGGCAGCTGATCGATGACTCTCTCTCATTGATGTTTCTAACTCTCTATCTCTCTCCCTTCCTCTCTGTACAAAATCAATAAAAAATATATTTTAAAAAAATACCAAATCTTCACAAAAGTTTAGACCCTGCCTCTATACTCATTCTTGATTCTTACATCATTAGGAAGGAGGGGATTCCTTCCTCTTCCCCAAACCCTACCTTCTCTCAGAGTTCCAGCAAATGCCAAGGCCCATGAGAGAAGCTAGGTCCGTTGTGGCAGGTGGCCACTAGAGGGTAGTGTTTCTGTAGTTACAAACTTGGATGGGTGTGGCAGCCCAATGGTACCTGTAAAGGAAGTCTTAGGGCAATTGTCCTGAATGAGTGAGAAGTAAGGAATAAGACAAGGTAGGAGGAAAGAAATTAGCCCAGAATCCTCACCAAAGACCACAGTCATCAATCCTTGGAAAATGAGATACTGGCGCTGTGTTCTCCCATATACAGAGAGGTCAACTACAAAAAGATTTCTCAGTTTATTTGCATATATACATTGTCACCCCAAGGAGCTAGCTCCACTTCTAGAGTCCCTAACTCCCTTCATCTAGCCAACATCCCAAACCTACATAGGAGACTGGGTCCTGAATACCCAGGACTCATATCGCAACCCTGCAGGTTATAAGAATTCATTTAGCAAAAACAGAGGCCAGTGCCCATTAGACATCCTTGCCCCTTTTGTAAACATTGACAACCAGGCCACTGGAGCCTGGGGAAAGTGTGCAAACGTGAGGGTACCATACTGTGTGCCCAGAGGGCCAGGACACAGCTGGCAACGTGAAGTCCTGAGGACCTGCCCCCGCTGTGGCCTGGCAAGTGCCAGGGGAAGAATCCAGGCAGCTACCCCATGCTTGAGGGTTCACATGAGACTGCAGCGGCGCTCTTGCCCGTAGGAATTCTCCACACGGGCAATCTCCTGGATGACTTTGGTGAAGATGCCTTGAGTCAGCTGCATGGGATAGAGATTCAAGACAAAAAAAATTAGTTCATTGCCAATAGTACCACCCAGCTCTGAGGTGAATACCCCCCTCTTCACCATCCCCACCACCAAGCACTTCAGTAAGAAAAAATACTGCCACCCCCACCATCTTCCTAATTTTCAGATCCATCACCTGATTCTCTCGAGCTGATGATTCCATGAATGTCGCACCCCATGACTCTGCCAGCTTCTTCCCTTCAATTGCCTGGACCTCCCTGGAAGCAAATTTGGGGCATGAAGATGGAAGATAGCAATGTCCCCATGTTCTCTACAAAATCTTTTTTAAATTAAAAAAATATATATATACAGAGAGAGGAAGAGGGAGAGACAGAAACATCAATGATAAGAGAGAATCGTTGATTGGCTGCCTCCTGCACACCCCCTATTGAGAACCAAGCCTGCAAACTGGGTATGTGCCCTTGACTGGAACTGAACCTGGGACCCTTCAGTCTGCAGGCCAACACTGTCCACTGAGCCAAACCAGCTAGAGCTTTATTTTTTTTAATCCTCACCTGAAGTTATTTTTTTCATAGACTTTTAGAGAGAGTAGAAGAGAGGGAGGAAGGGGGAGGGGAGTAAAGAGAAAGAAACTGATGAGAGACACGTGAGGCACATGGATTAGTGGCCTCCTGCACCTGCCCTGACTGGCAGGGATTGAACCAAGGTACGTGCCTTTCACTGAGAATCAAACCCACAACCCTTGGGTCCAAAAGCCGATACTCTAATAACTCAGCAATACTGGCCAGGACTGCAAAATCTTTATAAAATCTAGATTTTTTTTTTCTAACCCATCCCACTTCCAATATTTAGAAGGAGGGTTGGGGAAGGAGAAAATA